TTGCCCCGCCCTCTTCTGTGTGTAATTGCGTTCCAAGTGATGTGACAACACAGATGCAATGCACAGCCACGATCAAGCTGAGGTGAAGTACTTCCAAATAGGAGAAGCAGCAAACAATTAACCTGGAATGCATATATCTGAAGCCTGGCAGATTATAAACCAACAATAAAACTTTATTTCAATTTTACTGTAGTTTGGAATCAAAGAAAACCTTACTTCCTTCAATCTCTATTTCAGTTTTTATGTGTAGGCGATGCCTATACAGTTATATAGTGATTTTTTTTGCAACCAGTGTATGATGGGGGTGCTTTTTCAAATCTCTGTTGATAGAAATAAAAATCTTTTAGAGGCTATAACCCGTTCCCTGCTCTATCCAATGCAAAATGGCTGGTGTTAACTCAACGCACAGTATCTGTGAAGTGCAGTAAAAAAAAGTAATGGATTGCATTGCAGCCTGGAGGTGTGTTGGGGTTATCATTTAAATAAATGGCAAAGCAATGCACCTAGCACGCGGTAGTGCACGCTAACTGCACTGTACAATGGTGTGTGCTAAGTGAGTAGATACTGTGCATTTAGCGCAACACTATATGCTGTGAACGGACCCTAAACCTCCAAGTACATTTGATGTATAACACAAAAACATTCAGTTACGTAATAATACAATTGCCAGGTTACAGTAGACTGCCAATGTCACAAAAGACTGTTATGTTACAAGAGATAGTGTTATGCTTCCAGAAAGGCTGCTTTGTAAGACTGCTGGATTACCATTAAAGTGCCATGTGACACTCCAAACTTTTATTTAAAAAAAAAAAAGTTTGTGAAACAATATAATTCAATAAGATTGGCCGGGTATAAACTTGGCTATATGTGCCAAACTCTGGAATGTTGTATCAGCTGAGATACTGAATCTGCTTGTCTAAATTTGCCATCTGAGTTCTCTTTTGTGCTGTTATTGCGGACTTCTGTGAACAAGCTTCATCTTATTATCCACCAAGAGAGGTGATTACCACTGAACTTCAATGTGCTGAATCAATAAGAATGGAGTAAAGCGGAGGGCAATGCCCAGGAGCACACACTGAATTTGTCTTGTTTTTTTATTTTCTTGTAATACAAAATGTACTTGAATTTAGTAATTTGACATTTGTTATTGTATTATTAATGTCATCCATGTTTTCATTCTTTCTTTTTCCATCTTACAGAAATAAAACAACGGGTTGGCTATAAATGTATTCACTAATTTCAAAACAGATTTAAGTAGTTTCCTTCAACTAAGTTAACAGTGCTGTCTATTGTATGTAGATACATTGTACTATACAAATACTGAAATAGTGATTTGCATTATACTGCATATAGTATAATTTCCAAGATAAGAATATTTAGTATTTTGGAGAACATTGACTTATATTGTCATATCACAGTATTAGCAATTCTCTGTATGCTTATTGGTGTACAGTATATCTGGTACATAGACAAACCTTTAACCTTTTTTTTTCAACCTCTTGTTTCATGCTAAAATAACAAAGATATACTTACCTAAGGTTCTGAGCCGGCCAGCTTTTACCACGCTCCCTCCAGTCTGTCTCTTCCTCTGCAGCGGATTGGAATGGTCCTCAGTGTCCTAGACACAAACGAGCAGTTAACCCTTGCAGTGCAGGAAAAGCCGACCTGCAAGGGTTAATAAAAACAATTCCTGGAGTTCTGTTTTAAAATGCTAGTAATATGGATTCTGTGCTGATCCAACAAGATCACTACTTTTAAACCACTGACCTAGAACAAGTATGTGCACAGACATTTTTTTTTTCAGCCTGATTTCCACAGCTGCGTGCCTGTTCCAGGTCATTGACACAACATACTTAAGTTAGAGATAGGTAACTAGCATTTTTAGACGGAATTCCGCAATCGCAGCCTACATGGTTATCTCAGTACAGATATCACACCTGTTTACTCTTTATAGTCCTGCACCACTGTATGTTATGCTTTTAATAGCATAAACATTTGTTTCGTTTGACGAAACTAATGAAAACATTTTTAGTTTCCGTTCATTTAGTCTGAAATTAATTTTTAGCCTTTCCACATGTCTAATAATATCTTTGCATGAGTGTGTGTGCTGTGTTTTTTTTTGTATTATTTTTTTTACTGTTGGGGGCATTGGGTAAATATTAGGGGTCTAAACAGACCCCTGACACTTCCCTTTTGAAATGGAAAAATAAATTGTGGACACAGTGGAGTCCTCAATCTCTTTTTCTGCAGCCTCTGTTCTAAATGAATAGAGAACACTCATTACAGAGGTTTCCTATTAATTCAGAAACTGGAGATAGTAAAATATTTACTATCATCCAGTTATCAATGGGTAGAAGCCTCTATAGTGAGTGCTTCCACCCATTGAGAAACTCATGAATGAACAGGAAGTGATGTAAAGTGCTTCCTGTTTATTCATAACTGAGGGCACATAGTACTATGTGTCCCCAAGTTGTTTATAAACATTGGAGCGATTAGCTGATCACTCCAGTGTTTGCTCTGCACAAAGAGGATTGGTTTATGTCACTGATATTTACCGATCCTCCGCTCTGCCATCCCGAGTGGTGAAGCCAGGGGGGCGGGGGAGGGAGCGCTGTCACTTCAGGGTGGCCGAGCGGGGAGGAGAGAGAGAGCCACCGGCTGTCAGATCCTGGCCGAGCTTCTCTCTCTCTCCACCGCTCGGCCATCCTGGGTGGCTGTTCCTTCCTCCTGGCTGCTGGCTGCAGAGCTTAATTTCTCATCGGATCCCTGCTGCCATTGCCCATACAGGCGGGGGCAGAGAGCAGCAGGAATCCTAGGAGAAGCTGGAGCCTGTGCCTGCCCCTCTTCTCCCTGCCAGGTTGCTTTGTTGGCCACCTGGCGCCCCTGTTGCCATGGTGCCCTGTGCTCGCCATGGCAACAGGGGCGAGGGTGCACAGCCAGCCTGGCCCTGGCTGCACCTCCTCTAGGCTGCGCCTGAGGCGATTCCCTCACTCGCCTACCCATGATCTAATATGGTAAACACAGGAAGGTGGGCAATTCTGGGTCAGGAATGCTGACCTAAATGAGTACTAGTGACATACCTCATTACATGCATCCTTACAGAGACTTGTAGTGCTAAGGAAGAGAGGGAGCGTATCTGATCAGGTCTGTTAGTTTACCGAGTGCACTGTGTTGGTGCTGCCCTGATGGCAATTTGACTGTGCAGTCATATTCAGACTACTGTTCGAATGATATAACAGGACAGTAGAGGAAAATGATTGACTAAATATCTACTTCTGTGACTACAATTGAGCTTTAAAGGTACAATACAAGTAATGAAACAGCAGGAGAGCTGGATAATGTTTTTCTAATGGAAAGGATTATATTAAAGAACAACTGTGCCTTTGGTACAGCTATCCTTGAATGACTTTCCTGCCACCCCTGAATGCAGCCCACTAAGATAAATACTTACCTTCAGCCCCGATCCATTGATATATGAAATATTGCTAGATCGAGCTTTGTTCTCAGACTTGAAGGGCAGTCTCAATGTTCAATGAAAGCAAACCCAAGAAGAAAAATGTATTATATTGCAACTTACCATTTCTTTGGGGTGTTGGCTGCATTGTTTTTTGTTTTGTTTTTTTTCGGCTATGAACATTGAGCATGTAGAAAAAATATCTGTTAATAGAAATGAAGTGTTCTTGTCACTTTATGTGAGATGAACAGAAAGCATAAACAATCCCCATTACCCCTCATGTAATAGAGATGAAGAAAGGCAGACATGTTTAGCAGACAAAATGCTCCATCTATAGCTACAGTGGAGGAGTGAGCATGGACACCCAGAGACAGAAAGTGTGTTATTCCCACGTTTACAAGGTAAAATTAAAAAAAATAAACTAATGAAGCCATCTCATCTAAGGAATGATATGCTGTAATATGTATAATTTTTGGTTTTGGGTTTAGATATGATTTAGGGCAAAAGGCAGGAACAAACCAGCCCAGAACTGTTGCCAAGAAACTCAGTTTGAGTATTAATCTACTAGGGTCGCACTGTTAGCGGGTTTTCTGTATTGAGTACGAGTACCAATATATTTTTTTCCGGTACTCCCCGATACAGAATACTGATACTGGAAGTCCCATTAAGGAAGCCGGGAGGCACGTAATGACTCGCCGCCCGGGTTCCCAATTAGCTGGGATCTCCAGGCATCTGGAGCATTTGGGCGAGTACGAGTACTGGCCAAAATACTCGGTATCGGCACCGATACTAGTATCAGTATTGGTGCATCCCTACAATTTACCTTGGGTTTTAGGGGTCTCTGGGTGCTTGCTAAGTTAATGAAAGCTACGTGCATGAACTTAAAGAGCTGCTAACAAAGCAGATTCTCATCTAAGGATCACATCTAAGGAATGAAAAGTTTTATTGTATATTTGTTGTGTGTTCTTGTTTCTTAATTTTATACCATTACCTTTTTCCCCTTTCTCTTATGTCTTCAGTTTGCTGTGACCATCAGGCACTGTCCATGTTTCCAGATTTTACAGATTGTCAGGGGCCATCTGTTAATTTATTGATTCCCTATTTCAACAGACACAAAGGGTGTTGTAATATCTGTAACCTCAAGAGAGAAACAGTGGTTGCAAATTATATTTGTGTGCCCTTGAATATTTTTATATGATCTGGCATGAGAGTGAGAGAGAGAGAGTGCTGTTTCCTTAAGGATTCACTTTGAGTCAGTCTCTTTATCTGCACAGAACAGCTCATGTAAGTGTTTGAAGTGTAGTATTTACTTACAAATAAAACATGTCAGAGGCATATTCTAATGTCAAGGGATGTATAATATCACTGTAGGCACAAGTTCATTCAGGAATATATGCATAATATGAATGCAGTATGCCTACTCCCTTGGATACAGTGACTGGTTCTTTTGATATAATATTTAGTATTTTCAGAATATGAAAATCTATATTATAATAGAAGATGAAGCTTTGCACATTGTTAAGTAATATTTCCTTTATTTATGCAGAGTGTGACTGGAGCTGCAATGCCTGCAAAGGCCCTTTGAACACTGATTGCCTGCAGTGTATGGAGCACTATGTCCTTTATAATGGAGCTTGTGTCGAGCATTGTCCATCTTCCCACTACAAGCACGGGGACACGTGCAGAGGTACTGTTTTTTAAGTGTCCTGTAAGTTTATTTTGAGCTTGGTGAACCAGCCAAACTACAGATATAATTTGTAAAATTATATAAGGATATTTCTATTTTTAAAAATGCAAACCTGTACTTGGAAAGATAGAGAAACTGTCATTTTCTGACTTTTGACTCTGACCCGCCTCTGCTGAATATTTATTCAAGGCCAGTGATTTAAACTATTAAAGGCAAAGACAGACAATTGGCATTTTCAGAAGGAGGACAGTAATGTCATGGATTGAAATAATACCCAAAATTAATGGGTATGGGGAAGCATGTGCCAAATTCCCACATGCTTCCATATTGCATCTCTGTCATGTGGTTGTGGGGGGAAAAAAGGTCCTTAAGTCTGTACAAGCTCCCAGCAGACCAAATTGGAGTTTAACCATGTTATTTTATGTTATTTTTGTGCAGCCGGTGAATGGGTCAGCAGGGGGAGAACGCAACACGAGTAAAGTATAAGCCACAGGGGGTGGTCCATTAAAGTCTAAAAAAACAGCTAGCAAGCAGAGTTTTTTTGGTAAAGGCGATGTTGTGCATCTCTTCTACCACAAAACTCCATTCACTTTTTACTTTTTTTAATTTTATTTACACTGCCTGTAGCCCACAGTACACTCTGGGCATTGGTAAAGTGTCAAAGAGTGGAACCAATTGGCAAGATAATGTGGCTCTATCACACATGCACAGGAGATGCTTTATCACTGGTAGTGCTATGGCTGAGGAAGTAAGACTCTTGCAGCAAAAAAGAGGTTATGTGAAGATGGCAGTGGTGGCTGTGGCTGTGGAGTGGCTAAGAAACGCATGGAACTGTCAACGCTGGGGGAGGGCAAACCGAGAGGTAAGTTTGCCATAATTCGAATGTATGCCATTTATATATGCACAATATGGCAAGAGCTTCCACCAAGCCTCCATCCCTCAGTTCCACCATAATTAATCCTGCATGGGCATAGCACTGATTCACTTTAAAGTCTTTGCATAATCATACTGTTACTATCTTCTTTTCCCTTTTTTGGACAAATATTCCACTGTTTTGGACAAATATTACCTCTGGATTGTGTTGAAATCCTTACATACTTTATCAGTTTATGGCTACCTATATGTCTGTACTGCCTTTGGTACCTCTTTTGAATTATCTTACTGTAAACCATTTCCCCTTGACACGTGTGCTTTCAGTGTATTTCTACCTGGTATTGAAAAACAGCACAAGTTACCACATAATAATATGGTTATAGCCAGCTGTCCATGCACAGCAGATGCACTTAATTTGTTTACATATACCTCCATTCCCAGCAGCAAGTGCCACATTTCAATGCCTCCTTCTTCATTGCTGTATGTATAACTGACTGCCAGAACAGCTCCATTTGTATAGCTAACGTACTGGAAATTGAATTTGCATACATTTATTTACTGCACAGAAAAGTAATGATGCTCCCGTTTTGGAAATATGAAATACTAGATTTACGGACGTTTTTACCTCCCGCGGATATAACCTTGGCTGACTGACAATCTATTATTTATTAACTCCTCATTGATGACCTTTTACAATGTACTTCTTCTTTCCCCTGTTTCCTGCTTAGCCATGAGATAATCAGGTCATCAACATCTCCTATATAAATATTAATGCATTCCAGTGTCATCTAAATTCTAATTTCTCCTCTCCTTCTCTGTTATTTTCATTCATCTTAATATCCTCCTCATATTACGATTGTTTCTTGTTAGATTCATCATTTTTTAATAAGCTTTAGCTCTGCTTCATCCTGGTCTCCTCCTTAAGTTGTTTCTTTTTGTGAGTTGTAAGTATATCCCACATGCACTATAATAATAATTATGTACTGATACTTTTTTATGTGGCTGTCCATATTATAAACATAGGCTTTGAAACTGCATACTGCAGAAAAAGATTCATATTGGTTTGTAAACTCATTATAACTTTGAAAAATGCAGGTGGAAAGAATGTTAAAGATGCTGGTCTTTTTGGGAGCTATGAGCAGCAGCAAGGGTTAAAGTAGCCTGTGCTGGCAGCATGTAGGCAAATCAGACCGCTGCTTTCACACCCAACGCAATAGCTTGGATCTCCAGAGGTCCCAAATACCCACCTGAACACTGGTCCAATCAACAGCGCTATTTGGGGAGCAAGAGTTGAAGAGCCTGGACATAGTGTCGTGTATGAGACCAGCATTACAATTCTCTTACGAGGTTTTTTTGGTTTTGTTTACTCTTTATTTAAAATTTTTAAAAAAGCAAGAGATACAACTGAGATATAAATGAAGAGAACATTATACAGAATCAGGATGGCACATCTGACAACTATTTGTTGATATATCATAACAGGCACAATAAAGCTAGAATGTCAATGCAATATATCCCAGTGTCGATGTACCACCTCGGTAAAAGGTTGATATCTCGCCTCTCCAGACCTAACTTTTGTTGTTTTTAAATGCTTCCACATAACACAGACACACAAAAGACAGTCAAATAGGACAGGAAAAACACACAGAGGATAGAGGTCTTCAAGAAGAAGAGCAGGCCAAGAGACACCTCGCCAAGGGCCAGACAGCCTGACGAGAGTCACAGATAAAAAAAAAGAGTTAAAAACACAGAAAAGAAGAGTGCCGGTGAGGGAGAGCACTCCCCCCGCCCCCTCAAGCATTGGATCGTTAGAGGTCATGTCGTATTCTTGAGAAAGGGCGTACTCATGCCAATAAAACCATGTGCAATTGAACTTTTCTTCTCGATTGTACAAAGAGGCAGTGAGGTTCTCCATGCACTCTATCTCTGCAATCCTAGAGTACCACATTGTTAAAGTCGGTGCAGCAGGCTGTTTCCAAAGGGCCAGAATGCACAACTTCGCCGCATTAAACAAGTGAAGGAAAAGTGAATTCTTATAACGCTTCCTTCATAGGTCGGTGACATGTAGGAGAGAGGCAGCTAGGGTGTCTTGAACAGCAACTCCTGGAAGCTGTTTGATAAGAATCCCCACCTCTGTCCAGCAGTGTTGAATCCTCTGGCAAGACCAGAAGATGTGTATTAGGTCACTTACCCCCTCGCCACATCTCCAGCAACTCCTGGTGGTCTGCGGATAAATTTTATGCAATACCACGGGAACTTTGTACCAGCGGGAGAGAATTTTGTAATTATTTTCCTGTAATCTACTGAAGATGGAGGCCTAATGGGTAAAGTATATCGAGTCACTCTTTTGCTCGGGTGTAAGAAGACGATTCAGATCCCATTCCCACCTACCAACAAAGGGGGGGGGGGGGGGGGCTTTTCCAGTTGAATCAAGGCCTTATACATCAGAGAGAGAGAATGTCACAAAGGCGATCTAACCATGTTAAAGGAATCGGGGACCATACCTTAGGTACCCGTGACTTCAGAAAATTGAGGATTTGGCGCAACCTCCAATCATCCAGCTGGGGGACCACCAGAGAACGCAGAGCCGACGCTTCCCTCAGTCTTCCATATGACACAAAGTCACACAGCCTGAACCTGCCCTGTGTAAGAAAAGTAGGGAATTGGGCATCAATCTGCCCAGGACCAAAGTCCGGATGACCCACCACTGGAGACATCAAAAAGGGCCTTGACCAGGAACAGAATCCCGGTAAAACCCGCAAAGATCTTTAATGAGGGACCAATTAAGGGATGGCTCCGCAATAACTTACAGTGTGAGGGTTCCAACCAGGGAATCCCTCCCAGTGGCACAGTCGATGAAGCCTGCTCCAGAACTATCTATTGTTTGGAATCACGATTTTTGCACCATTCCAGGACTCTGGCTAAATGGGTCGCTTTATAAAAGAGGATAGGATACAGAAACTCCATCCCACCAAGGTACTTGGGAACAGCAAGCAGTTTGTGTGACAGCCAAGATGGAGAATGAGCCCAAACAAATTGAAGAAACTCTTCTCGGAGATAGGAAGACGTAATTCTCGGAGATAGGAAGACGTTATAAAGATGGGAAGTGTCTAAAACAGATACAACATTCTAGGGAGGACGTTCATCTTGAGCACTGCATTTCTGCCAAACCAAGAATGAGTAAGAATATGCCATTTCAAGAGATCTGACCTCACCCTGGACATTAAAGGCTTAAAGTTTGCTGCAGAGATCACGGAAATGTTTGGCGTGAGAAGAGTACCTAGATATGAAATATATTCCTTCGCCCATTTAAATGGAAAAGCCGATCGTAGACTCTGAATCATTTGTGGAGGCAGAGAAATGTTGAGAGCTTCCGATTTGTGAAAGTTTATTTGAAAGTTTGAGACTTTGCCAAAAAGAGCGAATTCCTGGAGGAGATTCGGAAAAGTCATTGCAGAGGACGAAACGAGAAACAGGAGGTTGTCCGCAAACAACGCAACTTTCTGGTGATCATTCCCTACACGAAGACCCTGAATATTGGGATTTGCCCTGAGTCTACTTAGGAAGGGTTCTAGGATCAGGATAAAGATCAAAGGCGACAGCAGATATCCCTGTCTTGTCTTGTTAGACAGATGAAAAAAAGGGGATAAAGCTTAATCGACCCGAATTGCTGCCGTCGGTAAGGAGTAGATGGCATCCAACCAGGCACACATTTTCGTGTCGAAGCCCAAACGATGGAACATAGTCTTCAGGAAATTCCAGTCAATGCGATCGAATACTTTTTCCGCATCTGTCGAGAGCAGAGCCAAGGGGACACCTCGTGAATGGGCTAGGTGGAATACATTGAGAACCCATGTGGTGTCTTTTGCTTCTCTGTGTGGCATAAAACCCACTGGATGTATAACCGTCTGTAAAAGAGGCAGCGCCCTAAGTGCCAAGATCTTGGAGAAAATGTTGAGGTCCAGATTGAGGAGGGAAATGGGCCCATAACTGGCACAGTTAGAGAGATCCTTACACTCTTTATGGATCACCACGATATGAGCACGCAGAGCATCAGGGGGAAGCGAGTAGCCCTCTAAAATAGAATTACAAGCAGCAACAAAGTGGGGAGCCAGCAGAGGGGCATACGTTTTGTAGTATGCGGCCGTATAGCCAACCGGTCCTGGAGATTTCACTACCATCCTGAATCAACCATCAGCGGTACCTCTGAGGCAGTCACGTCTGTAGAATTGAGTCTAGGGATACCAGATTCCTCTAGATAGGATTCCATGGAGTGTTGCCTAAGCTGCGAAAAAGAACCACTGGACCTTGGTGTTATAGAGAAGCAAAGCGGAAAGTTCCTCACGTAGTATCCTGAGTTCAGACTCATAAGATTGGGTCAGAGATCGTTTGTGGAGTGCCTTCAGGTGGGAGATTTGGGAGAGGAGTTGAATAGTACGTGCAAGTCTGGTGCGGCACCCCTCCGAATTAGAAGGCCCCTAGTCACATTTATGGGCTTCCCAGACCACAAGTGGAGAGGGTGTAGAGCCCTTATTTGCGGCAAAAGAAGTCCCCGATTTCACCCTGGAGTTCCAACTGAAAGGATCTCCCAACCTGAGAGGAGACCGGGCTCCAACGAAGGAGACGTGTGATGGTTGCATGATCAGAAGCTGTTGAGGTTTCAATAGAAGAGTTGAAAGAGTGTCATGGGATATCATGAAGTAATCTATATGGGTATAGGGTTGATGGGGCACTGAAAAGAAGGCGTAGTCTTTATCTGACAAGTGTTGCAGTCCCCATATGTCTACCAAATGCATTGATTGTATGTCCCTTTTGATCCTTTTGAGTGCGGGATAAGAGAGGTGTTGCATGAATCTGGAGGCATCGTGGGTCTAGACAAAGGTTCAGGTCACCTCCAAAAATCTGCACCCCCTACTGAAATTCTCTAAGAGTGGACAGACAATCAGACAGAAACGCAAGTTGGCCCTGGTTGGAGCAGTATATCGTAGCCAGTGTCACCCGTCTACCATTTAAGTCTCCAGCCAAAAACAGAAAACAACCTTGTGGGTCGAAATCTTGTGCCTTTAGCAACCAATGAACTGCCCCGGACAACAAAATTCTGACTCCCTTTATTTTAGAGTGAGAAGTAGAACAATGGTACCCCACTGGAAAACGAAAATTAGAGAAGTGCGTCTCCTGTACAAACGCCACATCAGCTCTGAGTCGCCACAATTCAGGACACTCGTTCTTTTCTCAGGGGAGTTCAAGCCCTTAACCTTGAGGGAAACCAAGTGAACCTCAGACATCCTCAAAGGGTAGGCAAACAAACCCTACAATCCAGCAAAAAAAGACACACTCGGAGGACGGAGAAATGGAGGGGCAACTAGCACACCCTATTGTTCTCCACAATAGGGAGGAATGAACCGAGCAAACTTCGGGTCACTGGATGCTCTCCAAACACTTTAAAAAATTTGCAAACCCTGAACATATATCTCACCCAGAGTCCTTTGAAGGCTATAGGACTTCTTGTATTTTTTATCTGGCCTTTTTAGAGCTAATTTGCAAGCTTTTGTTAAAAAAAAAAAAGGGTATGGTTTCCTGGACAAGCCATGAGGTACATATAGCAACACAAACCAAAATAGAAAAAATACCATTCAGCAGGGAGTGATTAGTAAGGCTTAAAGGGCAATATTAAGAATATACAAATCCATTAGATAATATGCTTGGGGAATGCCTTAAACCTGTATGTAAAGTGGAGCACCTGTAGGGTGTACTCCAGCAGAGATGTTTGAAAACAAAAAGGCTTGCTGCTAAATAACTGTTCTATTCCCCAGCCTGCTTCTGTTTGTAAACAAAGGAGCTGGGGGATCCTGGGTGACCTAATTAACCGCAAATCATTTGTTGACATTAAGCTGCCAGCTGGGGAGCTGCCATCCACAGCAAGAGTCTGGCGAGAAAGGATCATCTATGTGGTTGTCAAGTTCGCGTTGCTGATCATTGGGGCTTCATTCATCAACGTGATTGACGAATCATTTTAATTATTGCAAACCAGTGAAATCTATACCTCTGCATTTTTCTTTCTGGATGAATTCAACTTGTTTTTAATGTTAATGTTGCACTTACAATTTTCGAAAACTATTTCCTTTTGTGCATTGTGATGTAGCATCAAAGGGCAAAGAAACTTCTTCTATATTAAAGCGAACATTGACTTTGTAGTTTACCAGCTACCAGTTTTTCAGCTATGTTAAAAAACACAACTAAGTGATATCCTTTTAGTTAGAACGCTTTGTCAATTATATGTTGATGTAAATATCTAAGGTTGTAGGAATTATGCCCCTTTTACATGGGCACCTTCAGTTCCGATCAGCAGGGGATCCGTGCATGGATTTTCGGAACTGATGTCAGCATTGTCACATCCATGTTTATTGCTCAAATAGGCAAATCTTTGAAAAGAATGTAACTTAAAACAATGTGTATGTATCACAGGCTCAGATGAGGCACCAGTCACCTGCTTCCTGTAAAGATGGCATTTTGGGGCATTCGGTACATGCCCAGCAGCAGCCAAAACACAGATGAAATTCTCAAAGTTAGCTAGGGATTCAGGAATGGCAATCATTAGCGAATGCCACGTCTTCCAACTCCAGTTTGCAAAATTTTATTAAACACCCAGAGTATGTGATGTAAAACTATCAATGTTCCTTTGGACTTTAATAACAATGTTCAACTACAGTTGGATTTAATCCTTCATTGCAACACTCAATTTGCAGTGTAGGTTTGAGTTTAAATGGGAGCTGTGGAGCAGAATAGAACAGTGAGGCTGAGAATCATCTGTTATGTCTTGTTGTGTTGTACCTCCTTAGTCTTGTCTGCTATTAAAAAATTATATTATACAGTATTCATTCTTCAACTGTTCTCTAAAACGATTGATGTATAAACATATTTTAAATCTGTCTAACTAGTTCCGCATATTTAATCCACGGGTGAAATCAATTATACATGGGAAGGATATCTAAGGAGCCACACATACCCTGGTAAACAGAGGGAAAACTGCCACAAGTGCCGATAAGAGCAACACAATCCACAAGGGTTAAAATAGTCCGAATGAAGGCAACAGAAACAACAGTCAGCTCAAAAACCTTTTTGTTCACTTTGTTTTTATTGGTCGACAAATAGAGATTGGCCACGTTTGTTATATTTGAAATTAATAAATAAATATTTTTTCATTAAATTAAATCCATAGTACGTCCCGATCTTTAAAGTAACCCTTGGACCGCCTCGATCTGGCAGACGGCCCGAACGCTTTTGTTTTTTTTTTAGATATCTTTCTGGTTATGGATCTTGGTTGATGTACTGAAACACAAGGGTAATTGATTAGAGCTAATGTATCTCCAGAAGCGGGACATCCTTTTTGTCTTGGGTTAAAGAAGTTGCCTTCCATGCAGTATGAATACATGGTGTTCTAGCCTATGTAACAGTTTTTATTTCTTCTTATATATATTAGAGTGTGGAGAGCACTGCCTGTTCTGTACTGATTCCAGTCATTGTAATCAGTGTGAAGTACCATTCTACCTGCTTAATGGACAGTGTGTTACTGAATGTGGAAAGCACCATCTCGTGTCACACTCTGATCACAGATGCCTTGGTAAGCACACTTTTATTTTATACACATTTATAGTGATAACATATTCTGCATCAATTCATGAGAAGCCATAAGTCACTCATATCAGTCCCTACCTCCATGGAGCTTATAGTCTAAAGTACCTTCTACGGTTATAGAGATTTTTGTTCTAGAGCCAATGTGGTAGACAGTTAACGTACTCTATGTACTTCCTGCCTCTAACCGCTTTGGAACTATCAATGTACTCCTGCAATTCACCAAAAAGGAGCAGCACATGTGTTTCCCTACCTTAAAAACACAGAAGTTTCCCAGCACAAACAAAACAAATTGCCCTGCCTAACATTTTGCGGATTTAGTTGCATAACGTTTGCAAAATATGTGGAAGCCACACTACCTTGTTATGGCTCCTCTGTGTAGTGTGGTCCTACCCCTAATTTTTGTAAGTGTTTCCCTACCTCCATCTCTAAAGATAGCCAGGTTGTGCAGAGAGATTTCCAGTAAGGAAGCAATTTTGTTTTGACCAAAATAATTGCTTCACTGTTGTCTTCAATCCACACTAACAGCAACTGATTGGCTGCCATCACTGTTTGGCCCAGAATTATTGGAAAATGTGAAAATTCTCGGGCGGCCGCAAAGCATCTTGGGGCAGGCGCATGCGCAGTTCATAATTTCGGCCGCGAGACGAGGAGAGACACAAGGTAAGTCTATGGATGGCTTGCACCCACATGCAGACACCGTGGGACAGGAAGTGCCAGCAAGGACAGAGGAGTCAGCGCTGGATCGAAGACCCGCCGCAGCGCTGGAGGGACAAATGAAAAGGACAGGAAAGAAGAAGATCCGATTAAGAAACATCATTTAAGGTAAGTGCTTTAATTGGGGGAGGGAAACATTTTTTGACTTTAATGTCACATTAACTGAAATAGCTTAACCACTTGCTGCTGGTAGCTGTACATTTACTGCTGCAGCCATGTCATTTTAAAAAGCCAGAGATGACTGCTAATATACAAATAATCTGGCGTCTATACAGCCGCTGGATCGTTTGTACGGATCGGTGGATCGTGCTGCCCCCTCCGCCGCTACCGGCTTCCCTGGGCTCCGCTGTCCCCCGTGCGGGCCCAGGACCAGCACGGAGGGTCTCTCCGTAATGATCGGAGAGAGATCAGCAGGCTTCCACATCTCTCCTCCGATCACCGGACCCGGAAGTGATCTGTATCACTTCCGGTGTCACTGTTTTCATTCTCCGGCTCTTAGAGCCAGCAGAAAAATCTGGGGAAGCAGATCTCTGCTTCCTCAGCTTCTTTGGGGTCCCTAGGTGACATTAGGGGTCTGAAAGACCGCTGATGTCTCCATAAAGAGGACCTGTCATCTGCTGTGACATAGGGGGCTTGTTAGCGTGTTTTAGAGGGTTATTCACTTACCTGCTATGGCTAGATCCTTTGGCCGCCGGAGCCCTACGGTTCAGTGCTCTATGGGCTATTCACAATAGTCCGTACAGCAGCTCGTACAGCAGCAGAAGCATATGCCCTTGGCTCGGCTGAGCAGCAGTGACAGCCCAAGCGGGGCGAAAAGTCGACCGTTTGTCTATTCTGCTCGCTACCTCGGAGGTAGCGAGCTGAATAGCCAAGCCGAATGCCGCTCCCTGCCGTTCGGCCGCTATGAGACGGAACTGCCGGAGCTTCGGCTCAGCTGATCCAGATGTTGGATCGGCTGAGTCGAATGGCTTCTTCTTCACTTTGGCTCAGTCGAACATGCTCTGCAGCCGAAGTATGGCTGATTTTAGCCAATGTACAGCTGAAATCAGCCGTACTGAGCTGAAGTGAATAGCTGAACAACGTTCAGCTCACTTTACTTCAGCGCAGTTATTCACTCGGCAGCTTTGTGAAAGTAACATATGAAAAAAAATGCAGAAAAAAATATTTAAAGTCCCCCGCCCCCTACGTGCACGCACATACATACGCAATCATGCGTCGGTGCGCCTATGTGCAAAAATGAAAATTGCGCTACATATATTACATATCGCCACGAACGTCGGAGCAATAATTCTAGAGCCATTAATCACTGTTAGCACTAAACTGATGAGCAGTAAAAGCTTTTAAAGCGTCCCCTATTGGACATTTGGAGTATTGTAGATTTTTGCGGCTTCACTGTGCACTGAATTTCATTTTAGTGTATTTTATCCTAAAAATACTGGTTGATAAACATTTGCGCAAATACCGTTCGACGTAAAAAATTGCAACTAGCATTTTTTTTATTCTACAGGGCCTCTGCTTTCAGAAAATATATCATTGATTGGGGGTTTGAAGCTAATTTCTAGCCAAAATTCAGATTTTATCATGTGTGTGCAAATAGTAAGAACTTCCTCCGGACAGCAAGAGGTTAAATGATTGACATTTAGGCACAGCAAGCAAATATATGGCTATAACGTACAAATTAAAATTTGTTACTTTGCTATTTTGCTTTGAATTTTAGTCAGTACAACAAATAAACCACATTAGGCTCAATTCACAAAGCTTAAAGGGTTTCTAAACCCTCAAGTTTTTTTGCATATATCTACTGCTAGCAAGCAGTAGATGTATGAAAAAAGTTTTTTTAAACTTACTCCTGTCTTCGCTGCGCACTCCCGTCCAAAAATGGGGGCAGGCGCATGCTCAGTTCGGAATTTCGTCCGGGAGACGAGGAGAGACACAAGGTAAGTATATAAACATGTGCACCCGCATGCAGACACCGTGGTACAGGAAGTGACAGCAAGGACAGAGGAGTCAGCGCTGGATCGTAGACCCGCAGCACCGCTGGAGAGAAGGCTGAAAAGGACAGTAAAGAAGATCGAATTCAGAGACATCATTTAAAGTGACATTAAAGGATACATTTTTTTCCCTCCCCCCAATGTTAATATCAGCACTTACCTTAAATGATGTCTCTTAATCCGATCTTCCTCTTCTTTCGCCATGTTTTCATCCTCCAGCAATGCGGCGGCTCTCCGATCCAGCGCTGACTCCTCTCTGCTTACAGGCACTTCCAATCCAGCGGTGTCTGCAGGTTCTCATCATTGTGTTAAAGCTTTATGAATCAAGCTTTTTGTTATATATGAATATTAAAGTATTTTTATTTTACAGCCTGTCCTTCTGGATGTCTTGAATGTGATCGCTCACAGCAATGTACAATCTGTGACAGCCAGACATTTTTAAAGAACCACCACTGTGTTCCTCACTGTGGAAATAGTTTTCTAGGAAATTCTCGGACCAGAAGGTGTGAAGGTGAGAAGCTTAACTTTCACATTTATTTGTTACACAGATATTGTTATTATTTTATTATTATGCTTCTGAGAGGAGATAACTCCTCTCAGAAGCATAGTTCAAACCAATTTTATATGTTTTGCTTGTTACTAGACTAGCAGAAGGTTGGTCTACATTTCACTGGAACCCTAATATTGAGCCTTTTATTTAGACTGGATTTTCACCTATCCATGCATTGTAATGTGCTTGAAAGGTTTTAAGGTTTTTGCACAGGATACTGTAATGCCCTCCAACACATGTGTTGCGGTGGTCTTTGTTTCCGAAAAGAATGTCAGGTATGTTTTCTCAAGCATTGAGTCTTGTTTAAATTTAATGGACTACCCTAGCACATTGCATTTAGCTGTGAATAGAGTTCACATCTGCAAAGGGGAGCATTTTCTTATTCACACAATACCCATAGCATGTTTGCTTACCAGGTTCTACTCAAGACAGTTACCACAGTCACAAGATTGTACACAGAGATAAGAAAAAAGGCTAAAGCACCATGTGACAGCAAAAGAGCCCAGCAGTACAAGGAGCCCTCTACTGGGCGATTTATTATGGGAACACTGATAGCATTTATCAACTCATTTTGGATAAATTAAACTATCAATAGTTTAAGCTTCTCTATCAGAATTTAACCGGAGCCTAACTGCAAAACCGTTTTTGTTTAAAAAAGGCAAAGGATTAGAAGTTTTGTCAACTTTTTCAATTTGGTTTGAAAATGCTTGCTAATTTATGGATAGCGCATACTGAAATAGAACAACTGTTTGTGTAGAGCAGAATAAGCTATGCAACTTTTGCCTTTTTGTAAGGAACATTTAGCAAAAATTTTCTTTTCTGTAAGTAGCAGCTAATTTTTGTAAAGTTTTAATGTGACTTTCAGTTCTTGTAACTTTAAAATCATATAGAACAACACACTCAAAATACTAATGCTTCTCTGAAGTGAAGATCACTAACATAGATAAAAAGAATCGCACTAACCATATCTGCATTGGGAACATGAAAGCATAGTATAGATATTGGTTACTTTTGAGATCAAGAACTCAAAGGGAAATCACAGCAAGTTTATAATTAGTGACTTCTTTTAAAGCCAATTTCCACCTTTGTAAGTGATTAGCATTTATTGAGGTTACATAGTATTTGAGGTTGAATAAAGACACAGGTTCATCAAGTTCAACCTATTGAACTGTGGTAATGTAGAGGTGCAGTGATGATGTATATGTGTGTGCATTTTCATGACATTGCAGGCTTTTTATTTTATTTTTATGGACTTTTTAGTGGGCCTGAGTCCTGCAAATTCAAAATTCCCTCCACAGGGAACTTAATCTGAAACTGGTGTTGGATTGTCTTGTACAGACTGTAAAGCATCTCACCCCCTCCCTGTGAGTCATCATAACAGAAGATCACTGCACACCAGCTCTGCCTCTCCAGGTCACTTTGCACTGTTCAGGGAGCGTTGCCACTATGAATATTAATGAAAGGGGGGAGAGAGCTTGTGCATGCGGTCAGCAGAGCAATGTGGGAAATGTAGTTTTCAATGCCCTACATTGTAGTTCCCAATGTGCACAGCAGTCTGAAACTTACAAAGACTGCCTGCAGAGCACAGAGGCAACCATCTCAAAAGTAGCCATGAGGAGAGAAGACAGTTAACAAAAAAGTAAGGGGGTTATTCACTATTGAGCCAAAGGATACAGCCGTAGCTTCGGCTGATCCTTCAGTTCAGTCGAACCGAAGGGCTGCTGTGCAGGCTATTCACATGAGCCGAAGGCATATGCTTCGGCTTGACTGAGCCGCAGTTACAGCTGAAGCGGGGGGAACGGCCTGCTGAAGGCCAGCCGTTCGCCCACAAATGAGAGCTGGGTGGAGCCAGCCATGATTTCACAGTTTGTTTACACTCTTTTCACTGATTTTCTATTCTGCTCTGTACCACAGAGTTACCGAGCAGAACAGCTAAGGTCGAATGCTGCTCATTCTCATTCGGCTATGAGAATAGGGGCGAACGGCAGCGAGTGAGCTGCCTGGGCTTCGGCTCAGCTGATCGGCTCAGTTGGATCGGCTGAGTCGAAGTCCCTCTGCACTCCGGCTCAGCCGAACATGCGGGGCATGTTCAGCTGCCCAAAGGCAGCCGATGTACGGCTGATTTTAGCCGATGTATGGCTGAAATCAGCCATAATGTCTGTCCACTTTGGCTCGGTTATTCACTCGGCTGCCTTCGGCAGCTTTGTGAATAACCCTGTAAGTTTCTGTGTTCCTATACAGCAGCTGCATATGCCTACACTCAGCGTACATTGCTGGCATATTTTTTTTTAAATACCTCCACAAAGATGGAAATGTGCTTAAAGTTATTACTACTATATAGGAAGCTTAGCCTACATCTAAAAGGGCTGCTGCCTTATACATACATATTTACAAACTATACACTGAAACAAGTGAGCCTATTGTCAGATATAACACACATAGGTCTTTAGTACTTGCAATTGCAAAGTGCAACACCGGAAAGGACAAGAAGGAACATTTTGTTTAGGAGAGGGCCTAGTGGCAGTACATGTTTATGAAATGTAATCACCCAAATAAAAGTAAGATTTACTTATGGCAAACAAGAACTCTTCAGGAAACTCTTCAAGAAGACTTCGGATCTGTAACTTTTTCTGTCTGCAAAAAAAAAAAAAAAAGACAACAAGCTTTCCTGGGATGTTCTGAGAAATCGGGATCCCTGTAACCACTTCTGTCACTGGGCCTTCCTTTCCCCCACCCCATTTTTTGTTTGTTTGTTTGTTTTGTAATGGTTTTAGGAAGAGACCTAAAAGGGATGCAACAGTTTTTTCAGTACCTTGGTAAATAATCTCCACCAGTGCATTAGGCACATGCGCTAACTAGTGCTGCCAAAAGCAAAGAAGTAATAGTACATTGTAAACTTTTAAAATATTTTAAATACTCAAGGAAAGGAATGTATCAAAATTGGAGCAGACAAAATCAGAAGCATGCGTGCACAGCAACCAATCAGCTTCTCTCTTTCTTTAATTTTCAAATCTTAACTGAACACACTGAAGCTGATTGGCTGCCCTGGGCAACTGCTCCAGATTTTGTCTGCTCTAGTTTTGATAAATTCCCCTCATTATTTTTTGCAGTACAGTATATGGTTTATTTTTTGTGATAGGTCTGTTTTAAAATATACTTCTTAACTCTTTTGCATCCAGATTGCTGAAATCTTATTTATTTTGATGTTCTTGTGTTGTAAAACAATTACATTTTCCTTGTTGGAATGAAGTTGTTATATAAATATGGCCTGGTTAATGGAGAAGAGTTAATTTACTGTACAAAAAAGGTGACGGTATAAAGAGGCCACCACATCCTTCCACCGATATATTCCCACCACATAAAATATTGAGCTGTAGGGGGATCTGTGCCAGAAACTCTACCTTGTATAGTGTATGAATAATGCGGGAATGATGGGAGCACTAAGCAGAATTCATTATAAGGGAGACATCTTATATTGCAGTAATTAGCTTTTCCTATTAAGTTCTGATTTATTATAAAAGAATGATCCTTGAGTGGCCAGATTTGTTTTAAGCGCACACCAAATTAGAGTATGTTTGAATCAATTGCATATTCAGTGATTTGATTACACTTCTATAGTTTGGTGCTTTTGGAGGAGGCATTTGTTAGATAGCATAAAATCTTTATGGGAAAGAAGAGTAAAATATATTGATAGAAGATGATTGGTAACATTTGATCATAAGCCTTGTTACTTAACAGACCTCATAGATTTAGACCAAAATTGAGCTACTTTTTTTAAAGCATTTGGAAAAATGTAAAAAAGGTAATAAAAAGATACAGTAAGTTATTTTAACAGATAATTAACATGATTGCTCTTATTATTGGGAAATAAGGATGATGTCTGGTAACCAATGACCAGGTTAAGACCTTTAAAGTCTATCTCCAGGGTAACGAAAAACCTCCCCTTGCAGTGGGTCTACCCATGCACTGCAGGGGTTAACTGATTATTAATGTCTAGGGTTTTTATGTAAAGGACTCTTACTTATCTGATCCCCCCCACCCTCCTCCCCCCAACATTTGGTGCTTCTCCTATGCTCTGGCTTGTGGACTGTTCCTTGTCATCTCCGCGTAAAATGCAGGCTGCATGTGCTGGTCTTTGAGCCTGCAGGAACAGGGATCAGGCAAATAAAAGTCCTTTACACAGGTCTCCTAGACTTTAAAGGACATGTGCAGTGGGACTAAAATCTACTCTCCCTGCTGTTTAGAGCTAGCCTGAGACACTGCAGCTGTCACACCGACTCTAAAACCAAGAGCTGAGCAATCATGTAACTGCTGATTGCTCAGCTCATGGTCTTTTCTCCCTGCAGTGAGCAGCCACTGTTCCCTGAAGGGGTTCTCCCCTCCCCTCTCTGTTCCTCCAGTGATCATTAGGGGGACAGACAGGGGAGGGGGGAATGCACATCTGGCTCTGGCTCTAGAGAGGCAGAGCCAGCTGTCAGGCAGTCAAGATGGATCCTGACAATATTGTCCTGCGCTGTAAGAACAGTTTAGTAAAGTGATAAAGTAATGAACTAAGGGGTAGATTCTAGTCACCTTGAACTTTGCTTTCCCAGGCCAAACATAAGTGGCCTTTCCATAATGCCAGACCTTAATCTGAGGAAATGTTCTTTAACAGTGTGTTAAGTATATAATAAAGTAATCTAATAGTGTTATTAGTAGGGATTAGTAGGGATACTAGTATCGGTATTGATGCCAATACAGGACATTTTCACAAGTACTTGTACTTGTGAAAATGCCCCGATACATAAAGCCGTAACAAGCCCTTTAGATTTTTAAATGGGGGACATCAGGCAGCTGTCTTTGGCAGTGCCTGTCTGGTTGTACATTACCCATTACTGCCCCATATCCGCCTGTACGGCCCCGGAGCCGACACAAGCCTGACACGCACCCGTTCAACAGGGGACACACCCGTTCAGCCTGGCAGCTACCTACAGAGCCCTGGAGAGTCCAGCTCTCGCCCTCAGAGCCCTGGAGAGACCCAAACGCAGCCCTGCTGAGCAACTGCCCTAAAAATCATTAATCTATATTGTTTTAGAAAAAAATGTGACATATCCCTTTAAGAAAAAGTATCGGTAATTGGTATCAGCATGTACCTGAGAGAAAGTACTTGTACTTGGTCTTGAAAAAACGGTATCAGGACATCTCTGGTTATTAGGAATTTTCTAACTGTGCAGATCTGATAGGGTCCCATAGTTGTATAGTGCAATTGGGGGAATTTATCAAAACTGGAGAAAACAGAATCTGGAGCAGTTGCCCATGGCAACCAATCAGCATCTCTCTTCAGTTTGCCCAGATAAGATTTGAAAATGAAAGAGAGAAGCTGGTTGGCTTCAGTGCAAATCTGCTCCACATTTTGTCTGCTCCAGTTTTTATAAATTCCCCCCAGTATGCCTTAATAGACTGTTCACTTTGCAAGGGAATTTTTCGCTAGCTTAGTAAATGTGATAAAAGCTAATTTTGCAAGGAATAGCCAATCATGTTTTTGCTCGCACATGTTTGAAATATAGAAATCAGCAGAACTTTATGTGTCATATTCCTGTCCTTTTCATCTCGTTTGATCATGTTTACTGGACAGTTAACCCCAACATTTTATTTTTATTTTTTACTAAGCAGAGGAAGTGAGGAAGTCTTGTTCCATTGATTGTCCTTTGTACATCTGATGCATATTTGTTGCTCATGAATACTGCAAAAAGTTTACTTACAGTATATTATATATGCAATTATTGTTGTAGCAGCTCATCCGTTAACTCTTTTGTGGCCATTATCAGATGTTTAAGCCCTGGGTTAATACTTGTATAAAACACAGAAGTTCATGAACAGGAAAATGTAAATGATAAACTTTACTTAAAAACAAAATTTCTCTACCGGCACGAGTAAATAACGTTAACTATTTTATCCATGGATACAATAATTGCAGCATTCTTTGTTTTCTTTTTTTTCAGTTAACATTCATCACCCAGTGCTCCTTGTGCACGGATCATTTACGGTTGGTATTGGGGCAGTGAGGCCACTGGATTTCTCCTTTATGAGTGTAAAAGATGTGGACACTGAAGAGGTCAGTCTTACCTTTCATGTTGTGAACGCTCCAACCAATGGCCGTCTTGTGAAAATATTACATGGCAAGGAGGTTCATCTTATCAAAGACACACACTTTAGCTGGAAGGATCTGATTGAGCAAAGAGTGAGGTTCAAGCACAGCAAAGAGAAGTCAAGGTAAGAGAAAAAACACAAGACCAGTTACCCTTTCAAACATTGGCTGAAAAGTGTTAACAAATAGGGAGGCGTAGTTAGAGCGGCTAGGGTCTGGAACTTGCTGCCGCAAGCGGTGATTTCAGCTGGGAGTGTAAAATCATTCAAAAAGCATTTGGACAATTTTCTCAGAGACCATAACATACAGGGGTACAGGTACACTTAAGAACTTGATCAAACATGGACTCATACACACGCATACACATGCAGAATTACAGGCATATACACAATAGGTTGAACTTGATGGACCTGTGTCTTTATTCAACCTCGAATACTATGTAACTATGTAAATGAATCTGATCTAAAAAGTAGCAGTAAACATACTATAGTTACATAGTAAATTTTTTATCACCTACTGTACACCTGCTATGATGTATACGTGCCTTAACTAGCCTCAGAAGTTAAAGTGACATTAAACCCTCAGATTTTTTTACATAAACCAATACTGTAATGTGTGCCTTACTGTAATCCATGGTAGTTTCCCTTCTCTTTGCTGCTCTTCCTTTTAAATCCTCATGTCTTCTCATGCTGGGCAGAACTTCCCTTTGCAGCTCAGGGCCTCTTCCTGTAGTGCTGGCTCAGGTTACAAACCAATACACAGACTCCATATATCCATTCCTGAGACAAGGCAGTCTGCTGCAAAACAGAAGTTCTGCCCGGCATGAGAACAGATACAGATTCAAAAGGAAGAGCAGCAAAGAGAAGGGAAACAACCATGGATTACAGTAAGGTGCACATTACAGTATTTTATGTTAAGTTTTATGTTAAAAAATCTGAGGGTTTAATGTCACTTTAAAAGCAGGCACCCTCAGGCATGTGCCTCTAAAGAGGTTAATAAGTGCCTCAGTGGCCCTGAATTCTGAGGCCGTCTAATATACACATTATCACACTTTTTCCTAGCAGTGTTGAAAGCTGGTCTACAACCTTCTGCACCATGTTTCTGGTCCATCACTATGCTGGGTGGCCTTGAAACCCAAATAGGATGGTTCAGAAGGTGGGAAGGAATAAACTAGATTTCAGCACTGCACAGAAGACACCCATGGTACTACTGAATATTAGCAGAGTCCCATCGTTTTCTTATTTCTGTGACCAGTTTAGCTGCTTGACCCTTGTGAAAGGTGTACTGTACTCTAAAGGGACAATGTTACTTTTCTCAGTGAATATTAATGATTTAACCTTTTTAAAGTTTCTGCTTTTCTATATCTTCATGGCGGCAGTGGCTTTGGTAGCTACAATAGCAACTTGAGCTGGCAGCCTCAGTGCAGGATGTATGCTCATTTATTAGACATTTTCTTAATTATCTTTCCTGATATTATTAATCTTATCAAAGTTTGTTCTGTTTATAGAAGCGTGACATGGTATGTTCTTCTTTATCACACACAGCTGCGGCTGTTACAGCCCCGTCCATTGCCCGCTGCCTATTGCCGATAACACAGCGATCCCCCTGCCTCTCTCCCACACCGCACAGACCCCTCACGGCACTTCAGACGAAGTCCCCTCTTCTCATCTACACTCTCCCGTGGATATACCTCTTGGATTAATACATCGATCACAGTCGGACACCACACCACGAGTGCCCTGATCCTCCATACCGGCCGTCCATCTTCAGATCCTGGCATTCACACGTAAGTGCCACCACCTTCAGTTTTTCATCACTACTTTGTTAACTAGCCAGTGTTCTCTGCGCCCTTTCTTGGTTTTTTGAATATCTTCTTTAAAGCTGCCTCTTTAGCTAGTGAGCAATAAAGCATTTGATGAATTTGTAATTTGTTTCTGTGCATAGTAAATCATGGCAGATTAAATGGATTATTCGCTGCCTTACATTTTAAAGGTAAATCTACCTAATTATTTTTGCATTTGTATTTTCTCTTTAATGAAAAGCAAATTCACTAATGTAGCCTTTTTATTTAATATAGGTGTTTTCAGTTGTGATTTTCGTGTTTGGTTTACCAGTGACTGGTATACACATGGCAGATCATTTTGCAGCTTTAGCTGTCAAATCTACACTTATTTAATTGCTTTTCACTTTTATCATAATTTTACTTTAAGCTCAACAAAGGAATTAAGTAAGCGTTCAGAATGTCACGGTTTTATGAAGCGTGTAAAATGTCTCTGCTGGAATGCTCACTTCAGATAAACTTTTTATTATTTCTAAATCAGCTAATATACTTTGCGCTGTCTGGAAGGCTTGCCTGATTGTTTTATAAAGCTTACAATAAAACACCCACCCACCCCCCTCCCTGCTGACCATAGCAGAATGTCTGATTAAGGAATAACATTCTGGGTGAATACAGGAATTTTCTGAAATGAAAACAATACTAAACGTACAGTCTATAAAGAGGGGTGACTGCAGTGCATTATCCTAGGCATTGTCATTGAACAAGAACTGTGACAAAGATTTCTCTTTTTAGGAACCTATTTTTACTAAATGTTTACACAGAGATACAGCACTTAATATACTATATGTATATGATTTAAAGCTATTCTTCTTTTTGTATTAACTCAATCCTTTCATTTTATTCGGTCAAATGGATGTATTTCTGCCCGTGCGTGCCCGCTAGGGGGCGCGCGCGAGCAGAAAAAAATTGCCGTCTGGAGACGGCAACCCGCAGATGCTGCAGTGCCGTCCGTCCGTTTTTTTACTACGGGCGGACGGCAAGAGGTTAAGGGGGTTATTCACAAAGCTGCCGAAGGCAGCCGAGTGAATTACCCAACCGAAGTGAAGTGAGCCGAACAACGTTCGGCTATTCATTATGGCTCAGTATGGCTGATTTCAGCCGTACATAGACTGCCTTCGGCTGCACTTTGGTCAGCCGAACATGTTCTGCATGTTCGGCTGAGCCAAAGTGCAGAAGGACTTCGACTCAGCCAATCTAGCATCTGGATCGGCTGAGCGGAAGCTATGGCTGCTCACTCGCTGCCGTTCGCCCCTATTCTCATCTCACCTCCGTGTTACCGAGCAAAATAGAAGATCAGTGAAAAAAGTTTTAAAAAAAGGTTCGGGTGTCACTTCGGCTCGGCTGAGACCGCCTTTGGCTGCTGTACAGGCTATGGTAAATAGCCCGTACAGCAGCCCTTCCGTTCAACTGAACCGAAGGGCTCCGGCAGCCGAAGAGAGCCGAAGGATCAGCCGAAGCTATGGCTGGATCCTTCGGCTTCTTTGTGAATAACCCCCTAAGTATTCTGCTAGACAAGGAGTTGTGATTTAAGCGGTATCTAAACCTGAAAATACAAATTTCAAATATTGCAGCTCAGCAGTCCTTAGATGCGGTAACTGGATTGGTTATCTTTTTTCACTGTTATTTTTCCCTTTATTTTCATCTGATGACCTGCCAATAGCACACTTTCTGTCCCAGTTTCTAGTCCTTACTCACTGTACTGTATCTATGGAGGAGCAGCATTGTCACGCTAGGCTGCTCTCCTGATTTTGACTGCAAACACCTCCCCCTCTCATTACTACATAGAGTGTATGTGCTCTGTAGTTAGGCAAAGATAGCTGGGAAGGCAGATATAATTATCTGAGATTTCAGATCAGTGCACAGGAAGTTACAAGGAAACAACATTTCAGACAGGATCATCTTGTATTCTCTGTGCTTGCAGAAAATGCACTTCTTGAGTTTAGATATAGGTTAAGAATTAGTTTATAGTTCAGGTTATGTTTTTGTGTGTGTGTGAGGGCAGTCAGGTATGGGATTTAGTTTTTAGTTTTGGATAGAGAATGTTTTGAACCCTTGCCTGTTTTTTTTATTGCTGCCTGTCACTGAGAAAATATCCCTTCATTCACTGTCCCAGTGACAACACTGTCACTGTGGCAGGAAGGTCTGCACTTCCAAAACATGGATAACCATCAAACAACTAAACAATATACATTATTCTGACTATATTTTTCTTGTATACAGGAGTGGCTTCTTCACCTTAAAAGTCAGCGATGGTCAGCTCTACTCACAACCAAAAGCCATCAATGTGCAAGCAGTGTCAACAAAGGTGATATAAACACAATTAACCACTAAATAGCACCCACCTTAATTTGCTATCTAATAGACTTTTTACAGGCAAAATGACATAAAAATGCAAGTACTCCTTTTTGGCAACCTCCCAGCATTTGATTGCTCAGGGAAAGGCATAAAAACAGTTTGTAAGAAAAAATAAACATTTTACCTTACACCCAGCTTCCAATGACTTCCTGTAGACTCTAGTAATATGCAGCATCCTGGGAAAATTGGTCATCCCAAATCTAGCTCCAGCACTGTGCAGAAATGCATTGTTACAGGATTTGGGATCCTCCACTTTCCAGAGCTCTTGTAAGCAGACCAGGGGACCTTGCCTTAACCTAGGGAAGCCCATAGCTGGAATGTAAGGTAGGTGTTTTTATACTTTTCTTTCAGTTTTTAACCCCTTTCTGTTTAGTTTTTACATGGGGGGTGGGGGTGGGGGGACTGCAGATAAGCAGGCTTTACATAGTTATACAAAGTCCACTTTAGAGCACAATCACATACATCTGTTGTCATCTAGATGCAAGTATCCATTAATATCAGAAATAACGTGTTCTTCTAAAACTGTAACATATTAACTTAAAAAATTCCCCAACCTGCATCACCTGTTTCTGTTTTTAAATGTTTACATTAATTTTAGGGTGATAACTCTTACCAAAGTTTTGCACTTTGCACTTATGTATGCATTTTACAGTTGACCTGTTAAATGTGAGTTATACATATGTGATATCAACTTAACATAATAGTACATTACAGTTCAGTATTTAGTAAGGCTCAAGCACAAATAATTTCAATCAAAATATTAGTATTACATGACAACCATGTTTTAATTTTGTCCAATTATATAACTTGAAAAACATGTAAGCTCTCTTTCTTAGATTTAAAGGAGAATTATGGGGAGAATTAAATACACTCATCCCCATAATTAGAGCTGACTGTTAGTCACCGCTCCAGCAGGATTTCCCCCCTCCCCTCTCTGTTCCTCCAGCTCTGACTGGAAGGACAGACGAGGGAGGGGGCGGGCACAGCTGGTACTGCCTCCCAGCTGTCAATCAGGTGGCTGGGTGGATTCCGATCTTTCCCGGGTGCAACGAGGCTCTGCGCTGTCAGCATATTGCAGGCAATAGCCCGCTACATGCTGAGTGTTGGGTCACAGGAGGACATAGAAAATGTCCTCTTGGGACCCTAAAGCTCAGCATATTGCGGGCAATAGCCCGCTACATGCTGAGTTTTGGGTCACAGGAGGACATAGAAAATGTCCTCCTGTGACCCTAAAGAGAACTATGACCAAAACAGGTTGGGCCATAGTTCTCATTAAGTTAAAGTCCTCTTTATAGCTGATGTGTTTTTACTTATAACATTTCCCATTTGCTGATTATGTTTGCATTTTGTTTTACATCAGGCACCGTACATCCTAAGGAAGGAAACTCTGCTAGTTGGCAGGGGAGAAATTGGAGCTCTTACCAATTCTGTTTTAGACCTGAGAGATGATGATAATCCTCAAGATGTTGTAGTTATTGTTCTCGAGTCTCCTAAACATGGACAGCTGGTTATACCACCGGGGAATACACCCGTCCATAAGTTCCGGCTCGATGATATTAAAAATGGAGTGCTCCATTATAACCATGATGGCTCTGACAGTCAGGGTGACATCATTCTCTTTCAGTTTAATGATGGGTACTACTTTCAAAATATCCTCTTTCATATCAAAGTGGCTGAAAAGGTATTTATTTTAGGAAAATAAAATTCACTTGTATTGCAATTTGTTTTACTATTTGAACATATATCACACATTTTACATAGTGACATCAAGAAATCTGCAAATGCTAAGTAGGTCAGAGCTATACAAGAACTACATTATTGGGCTTATTTAAAGTGGAACTTAAATGAAAAAGTGAAGATTTGCTATATTATAGGGATAAAATAATTAAAAAATCAATGTAATATATTAAATAAATTCCTCCTAAAAATAAATGTGCTTCCTGGTATGTGAGGCTTCCTGGTATGTTAGGCTGCCTAGGCACCGCTGCCTCTTGACTGCTAGTCTCATGAGATTTGGAGTGAGATTTGGTGATGCTTACTGTTTTTCTTTCTGAAGCTTCTGACATGAGGTAGCAAAAATATTTTCTCTAGTATGGCTGTCTTCACAAAGAGGCACCGCTAAGAACAAGGCAATGTAAGTCAGTAATGAGAAAAGATCAGTTGCAGGGAGATCACATACAATACTGCTGACAATACATTTCCCCTCTGCCTGCCTTTTTGGGTTCATCTTCCAGAGTTCAGTTCCATATTAATAACAAATTGCTTCATTATATCCACATGAACTTGACTTTCTTCGCTTAATGACTTATGTGCTTTAGGCACATAAGACATTAAACTTTTGGCCATCATCATTGCTGACATGCTTTTGAAGGTGCATACTACAGCACTGTTATCCTTATCTTAGCGACTTTACTACAGCACTAAAGCATGCACCTTCATGAATAGGACAGTATTGGCAGCTCCCATATGTCTAGTCCTTTAAAAAAAGGCGTACAATCTTTACACACAGAAAGGAGGCATACACTCTGATATAATTAATGAGGTGTGGAAGCTATTCATCTGTAGTATTTATGTTCCATATTTCCCAGAGGCCAGTTATAATGGATAAAAGTAAAAACTTTTTGGCTATTCCTGTCATACTCTTACTTAATCACATAATCTTAAAGGACTGCATGGATTGTGACTACTTGAAAGAAATTGGATTTCTGCTCAATGAACTTGAATAGCACTTTTAGTTGGTAATGGTTTAATGAAGGTTTATGAGTGTGCCACTTGAGAACTGGCTGGCCAGAGCACTGTATATTCAATGGTATTATTGCACAGCATTTATGTATCACATTTATAGATACTGTTACTGGGTTAAGCTCAGATGCACTGAAGCATTCTATCAGGATTCAATATTGAGCATACAGGATGATCAATCCCTGGTTCCACACTATATTGTTTACTGCAATGGTAATAAAAACGGGTAAGGGCATCAGTTACGGTGATGACATTTTCCTTTGTTTCTGCTCATAACTGTCAGGTGCCTCAATGCATTGCTGTTTGTTTTTGTGTAGATCAATATAACAGAATATAGGGCTAGGGCATCTAACCCAGTTGAAAAATATAATTGAAGCATTTTTCAGATTATTATGTCATGTTGTATTTGGACTTAGTATGGGAGAAATAGACAGACAGACAGACCAGACACTGATAGCCCTGAAGTATGCACACTTAAAAACAAGTTATCAACATGGGTTGTTACCTGAAGGGTTTAAATCTAACAACAGAGAAATAGTGTTATTCTGAAGCTATACTACACTAAACAGTATAAACAAAACTGGCAGGGGCATGCTGTAAGCTCCTTGGTGGCAGTGTTAATTAGGGCGGTCATTCACAATTAAATTCTGGCATGACACGATGGACACCACCTTCAAAAAACTGCTGAGAATTGGACCATGTAGGGGTTCCCAATGTGGTCAATTAGAGTTGGCTGAGTCGCTTAAAGATGGTGGCAGATGTCCCAGCACTTGTTATTCTCAACAAGACACGTGCAGACCCTTCATTGTGGCCCACTCCATTAGGTACAAAACACTCGGCTTCTGATTATGTCCCTTCCTTTCTGATTACACGCACGTGGCATTTAGAAAGACACTTCAAATGTGTATTTTCATAAACTCAGGTGAGTGTATTCCATAATGTAGAGAGGTGATCAGGAGAAGAGTGTTTTGCACCTAATCAAGTGGATCATGTTGGAGGGTCTGTATCTGCATCTCAATGACTTTAATTGACCACTCTTAGGCTGAGACGACACTTGGCATTTTAATCACTTGTTAAAAAGAGTTAATCATACGGTGACTGATGCCTCAGTTGACATCGGTGTGTGACAATCTAGGCAGTCAACAAGGAGTTAAATCCCTAACAAGTGATTTAAATCTCTTGTGTAGTTCTAGCCTCAATTAGACTTCTGTGAAAACCCATGCAGTTTAATGTACACTTTTAAGTGCAGTTTTGTTCATTTCACATGCAATGTAGTGCACTTTTTCATGCAAAAAAAGCCCTAGTGAATTCTCAGTTTAAATTAACAAATTACATTCCAAGGGCATTAAAACAAAAGGCGTGCAAAGTTTTACAGTTTACTTTCTTTATAAAGTATTTACAGCTTGAGTAGAAAAGCCTGTCCTTTGCCAGCATGCTCTAAAGAAAGACCCTTGTTCTCTGTGTCGGACCAGTGGGCTCTCTGCAGAGGCTTAGCACACATCTTGCTTAGTTCGATCTGTAACTCTGCAATCAACAAACACACATTCTTCCCTCTGATTGGAGAGCCCTTACTCCGTGAGGGTGTTTCAGACCTCTGTACGGAGACTACTGCTTCAACACAGAAAGCATCTATCTATAGGGACAGATAGATAGATAGATAGATCAAGAGATAGATAAATAGATTAGATAGATAGATAGATAGATAGATAGATAGATAGATAGACAGAGAGGGAGAATGTGTAAGAAAGTAGGGGGGCTCTGCAAATGTGCACATCAGGCCCTCTTGCGCTTTTTAAAGACCTAAGCAGTTACATAAAAATAATGAGAAATAAAAGTCCCTACAGCACTTTGGTTCTGGGTCACACATGTTGGCTCCATTGTGACAGTGCAGTGAACTCTACATCAGCAAAGACTTAAAGGAGGTGAGGTGCTTTTCACTCATCCTCATAGTTCTAGCTGACCTGTGACAATGAAACTGTCACAGGTCGGCTCAGTAGATCGGGAAGTGAGCGAACACATACCGGCGTTCGCTCACTTCTCCATCCTGTCACGGCAGAGAGCTGTGACAGGGGAGGGACTGGATTCCCCCCTCCCCGCTCCGATCATCCAGCGCTGACTGGTGGAACAGACAGGGGAGGGGGCGGGTACAGCTGGTTCTGCCTCTAGATAGGCAGAGCCAGCTGTCACTCACGCAGCTGGGCGGATCCAGACATAATTGTCGGGATCCGTTTCAGCTGCGGCGTCTCAGTATACCGCGATCTGTAGCTTAGGGTGACGGGAGGACGCTAGTTTGTGTGCTCCCATTAACCTTAGGAGAACTATGGGGAAAGGCCCTAACCCCATAGTTCTCCTTTAATTTGAATGTCTTTAGACATAAATGTGAAAGAGATCAGTGTAATGTAAATAATCTTATCAAAGTATGCTCATGTTTTAAAAGCTTTGTTTCTGTTTATGGTTTGTAATGATATATGTGCAGTATATTACCAATATTAGGTCTCCATATTTGCTTATTATATAGACGGCTCTACTTTTTGCTCCTATTTTTTCACAACAAATTTGAGTCTGTCTGAAGAAAAAAACAATACACTCTGCAATATTTAACGATATGAAACATCCTTTAATGCTCCTGGTAGCCAGACAGAGACCATGCAATCCTAGCCTAAGGTGAGGGAGCTTGGGAGCTGAGTTTTATTGATTGGTCCTCTGTCTACTTTAACCTTATTTTAGAGCTTTGGGTTTGATTAGCATTCGTATAAATTGAAGCTTAAAGTTGTCCTTTTACAAAGCATAAAGTACTAAGGGCAGTTTTAAGTTATTCTAATGTATTCACTGGAACTTGCATTGGCTGTATTATCAAGGATTACAGGAAAGTTTTATAATTAGCATTTTAATGAATTCATTTTTATACATAGAAATAGCCCGTATCAGCAAAGTTAACATAGTTAAATGTGAATGATGAACTGATTCCTCTTTTTCTCTTCTTCTGACAGATAAATGGAGGACTTCAACTTGTATTAAACTCTGCTGTATGGGTTCCAGAAGGAGGAATGCTTCAGATTTCAAATAGACTTCTGCAGACTAGGGCATTTGGTGCTGCTGACTCTGAAATCTTATACACAATAACAAATGAACACCCAAAATATGGTAACTACTGATTGTGACGTGACGTTAATGAAAGATCTCAGAGATCTACAAGCACATTCATACGCACCATAATGGCGTTTTTAGCCTAAGGCAAGCAATTAGGGAATATATAGCTTTATTTGTATATATTATGTTCATAACTAATAAGTAAATATTAACCATAATTTTCAATATTTTTCATTTAAAAAAACAAATATTATATATATATATACATATATATATATATATACACATACACACCATATAAAAATACAAGAAGTAAATGTTGAAATGCTGATTTTAGGTTAATAATTATATTACTGTAGCATGCAGACTAGTTGGATAGAGACAAATAATAGTTTCATTCAAAAATGTTTCTTCGAAAGGGCCAATTTTTAAATAATATCCTCACCCCTTTGGGCTTCTCCAAGATGGTGTGTGGGTTCTGTCAACTATGGCAGGTCATTGTGCTATTAAGATGAGCTGATATGGCTGCAACATATAAGCAGTACTGCCCCTATATTGTGCATGCCCAGTAATGTACTATCTCTGAGGTCACTACCAGTCTGGCATAAATCCCCACAATCTGTGGGTCTATTAAAAATTTTGCGTTTGTGGTTCACACTATCCACTCTACGCCAAAGTGGCAGCAATATTTCACACATGCTTGGTAGCAGCAGATACTTCCCAACATGGTATCACTATCACACATGCACATATTACCAATCCCATTTTGGGGGAGACAGGGCAGTGTGAACCGTGGGTGTGTGTGGTATCACTGCAAGCTCTGCATCCTGATATCAGTGTTAAAGCAATTTGGGGGGTTGGGGGGCATTGTGCTTGGGGAATTTATGAAAATAATGATGTTTGCTTAGATGAATTGTGAAAATTGCTTAGGTCCATAAAGGGTAAACAAATGCTGAAACTGAAGTGGCTAATACTGCTGAACATTTTCAAGAATTTATATATATTATGAAACCATTGCTTAGCCTTTTTCTTTGTGAAAGGTGCATAACACAAAAGGTGTTTCAGCAGTTGTTTAACCTTAAAGGCAGAAAACAGGAAGCTGGTAAGACACTGCCACAGCCAACAAGCATAGCTGAAATCATCAAGTGACTTCTAAAAGACTCTTTGGGGAAAAATGTAATTATAGCAATTAACATTTTGAGGAAACCGTGTACATTAGGAATCCTCTGCTTAATGTTTTCCTTATGAGAGATGTATAATGCAACAGGTGTTCAGAAAGATGGGAACAAGAAAGCAACTAGAAAGATAACTGCTAAGATAAGCTTTTTGTGGGATATTACTTATATTGGCCTTTATTTATTGGACCAAGTGTACATGTTTGCATGACTGAATAACTGGAATATAAATGTGATGAGAAAGGATATTTTATTTATTAGACATATGTGTCCTTGGTTGTATTTATAACTTTGAATAAATGTCTACTGCGTATTTGTGCCATAAAAAGTATTTCAAGGAAGTTTGTTAAGCTTTACGGCTGGCTCTTGAAAGTATCAGTTATGGTTGCTTATGTCAGGCTCAGCCTGTACTGTAGTCTTCTTTCTCATTACATGCTAGGGCTCACTAGAGTGGTAGAAACTAGATGCAGTAAATTCCCCATTATCCTGCATTCAAGCAAACAGCACTTTCAAGCAACTGGCAAAAAAATTGAGGACATAATATATCCTCGATTATTTTATTTCTTTGCCGGTTGCTTGATAGATATGTGCACACTGAAAAATTTAGTTAGCAACTAAATGTATTTATTTACTAACGAAGTTCTCTTCTTACATCTTGCTGCTGGCCAGAGTCGGCAGCTGAATGTAAACAACGGGGAGCAATAGCCAGCCTGCTATTTGCTGTTTCACATTGCAGTAGCCAATAGCAGGCTGGCTATTGCACCCGCCCACTGAGCAGAGGAGCGGACCTGAGAGAGAACTTTCTCTTGCAGTGCGGAGGGGTTTGATGGAGTTGCTTGGGAGTTAATAGTAACTCTCAAGCAACCAGAAACTACAGTTGTCCCAGCCTCTACTGATCCATGTAGATGCCAGATAATTGGGAGTTTACTGTAGTTGTTTCATTCAACTTCAAATATATTTTGGTCCTAATGTAGTGCCAGCATTTATGGGTATAAATTGGAAATGCTATGCTGCATGCTATGATAGATCAATCTGGTGTTCCTGTTCCCCATAGTCTGGCCCTTATGTTAATGGCATCGGAAAACACGTGAATTTCCAGTGTTTCCTAAATCAGTCAGTTAACATAAAATGGTTTTTCAGGTGAAGTTGTGCTTTTGGCCCCTATGTCTGCGGATGGGCCAGCAGATAGCTGGCAGCGTTTGCCTGATGGAAGATTTGCCACACCAACCACTTCTTTTACACAACAGGACATCAATGAGGGCCTGGTATGGTATCGGCACTCAGGGCCCCACTCACAAGGAAGAGACTCATTCAGCTTCCAGGTACATAATATTGTGCAATTCATAGATATATGATACATACACCTCTTAACAATGTCCATGGTTGATATTTTTGTACACATGATGCTCCACTTGAGATATAACCATGTCTTAACCTGACTGAATATGGGCATAACTTGTGAAAACTCCTTTTTGATTCCTTGTACAGTGGAATAAAATGGTTCAGTGTGCTTAAAGTATATATGCAAGTGTGTTTTAACTCATAGCCAGGAGCCAGTGAGAAAATTCTTGATCCTCCTGACTCCAGTTAGAAAGTTGAAAAGTAGCTTTTGGCATGAGCTTTTCCAGTGAAATTGGTAAACACCCAGTAAAGCCCAGTTCCACTGAAAACGTTTGTTGATAGTCATATAGAGTGAGCACTTCTGGACATTTTTTATTCCTGGCTGTGACCCCGTTTTTGGTTACATTCTGTCCTTGTGACAGCAGGGCAAGAAATTAGGTGAATGGGTGTCATGGGACAAGTAGACAGCATTCTACTGCAAATGTAGTGTTTTGTTTCTATCTGTCCCCTTTGAAGAGATTCCCCATTGCTTTCTGATCTGTCTAGCACCCTGTGCAAAATACAGTAAATGAGTGGATAGTTTTCTAGCATTGACACAGACAATAAAAAAGAGAGAGAGGGTCTAACATTTGTCTACTCTATTCACAACTAAAGAAAATGTTTGTGATATGCTTGGGATTTAACCCTCCATACAAAATACATTGAAATGCCTTTCCAATGTATTCCAGTAAGGGTGAGAAATCTACTTGGCTTTTTTGCCTGCATTAGTTCATAGCAAGTATTAGAATGAGATGAGTGTGTTTGTTCAAGGAATTTGAGCACACAGAGTTCATCCTAGTCATTATCACAAGGACCTCTTGATTATTGTACTCTCATAATCCATCAGTATGGATGATTATAGCATTTTGCAAAATAACGCACTAGATTACTCCGACAGATAAGGAGTGACCTGGGAATGTTTAATGCAGATGTAAGCAAATCTTCTGTAGAATGCCCCTAAATTACTTCTGTCTTCTTTTAATGAACTTACTACCCATTGCTCTCAGAGGAAAATTAACTCTAAATAAGAACATAAAATCAACTGCTATTTTATTATTAAAATAAAGCTGATGTTAATTTAAATGTCAGATATAAAACATGTCTGGTTCAGTGAGAATCCATAGCTCCTGGTTGGCCCTGTCCTGTAGGACCATCTTTCTTTCATTTTTTCCTCAAGTACTATTTTCATTGACAAAGCTGTTTGCTTTGCTGGTATTAGGGGAGGGTTTTACCGGCTATGGTGACTTTTATAGGTGTCTGATATACAATATCTTGGATCCCTGCACTCTTTGATCAGGAGCTGCCGCAGCTAGCGCCGCAATTAATACTAATTGAAAACAGAAAAAAAAGGCAGCAGTTTGTCTACTTGATCGCTTAGCCTAAATAAAGTTGTTTATAGTGCCTTTCACATAGCAGTAATGTCTTTTGCACAGAAAGTTTTGCTACTGTGCCTGTTGTTCTGTCCTGTATATAACAAGCTACATACCGTATAAATTAATAAGTGGCAGTTTTTTTGCCTAGACATTTTGGCAAGTTGGTATAAGGGTTTGCAGCCTTTCTCAACTGTTTTACTAACAGAGGTTTTAAGATCTCAGAGAATCCTTGCCAAAACATGTCATTGGTGGTAAGTGGGGAAAAATGCCCCTTACCTTGGTGACTAGTTGGAAGAATGCACCTCTTACAGTGGTGGTCAGAATGCCACCCTTTGAGACAGCTAAAAAGACCATTGGGTTCATGATGTTGGTCCTGCCAAGTGATGTTAACCTCGGAACTATTCAGGCACTATCAATTGAAAGGTCAACCAGCCACAGCTCAGAGAACCCCCAGCAACCTCTGAAAAAACCTTAGTGTTCTACAGAACCATGGTTGATAATCACTGATTGCTTTACAGTTGTAGACATACTCCATATTTCTTGTATTGTGATGTATAGGTTACACCATAAGGCTATATTTACACTAGCCTCCTGCATTTGGTTTCTTTAAACCCAGAAGAAATTATCTGAAAAATACAAATATGCTTCCCAAATCACTTTCTCCTGTTATTACATATTCATGTGCTTAAATGCATTTACACATGTTTACTTATGTTTACAGTATCTAATCTGCCCCAGGGTGCACAGAGTTCCATTTTCCCCCAAACACAGCTAAACTGAACACACTTATATGCAAGTAAATGAACAGTATGGGTTGTACCATTTAAAATCATTGCCTGCATTTAGAAATGTCCCTTCATCACAAGTATGCCACTGCTAGTGTGAATGAGGCCATATAGTCCTGGAATGGGCTTTTAGAGGGTGATTTATAAAAAGTGACAGGGAAATGAATTGTAACCTACTTTAGTTTGACCTTTCCTGGGATATTAGAGACTGCTCAGGGTAATATCTCCACTGTTGCACTCTAAAGTTTGGAACATAGTAGTTCTTCCCCAATCAGTGTAGAACTGAAGGAGTACTACCGCTTTTTTGCAATAAAGTTGTCATTTCTTGACTACTGTTGGGTATTAGGCACTAATTAATGGATTGAGTCTCAGAATTAATCCTTTCATAAACTCAACACCCAGCATGCTGTCTGTGTTTATGTGCCATTGAAACTAGCGGTGTATTAAATTATTTAAAAACATGAAAGTAGCCAGAAATAATGTTTCCCTGTTGATTTTGATTACAATATAGTGTTAAATAATTCCCACAAGGTGGTATAATGAGAATTTGTTCTTAATTGTCAAAAAGTAATTATGATATGGCATATGTTGTTTTATAGATTAGTGTTTTCCTTCCAAAGGCTATGCACATTAAGGTTTATTAGATCATGCTGTGGTAAGCTATGAACGGAAGTGCTGGCCCTATACATGGCCAGCACTTCCCCTGCCCGCAGTGCGATTAAACGTGTGGCAAAACTTTGCCAGCGTTGCGTTCCACTGCAAACGCAAAAAATAGAGCAAGCCCCATTTTTTGCGCTTGCAGTGGAACGGAACGCTGGCAAAGTCTTGCCACATGTTCGAAACGCTGGGAAAGTTTCTTAGCGATTGCGGTGCGTTCCAGCAGCTACCGCTTTGGAACGCACCCGCTTTTGGTGTGAACAAGGCCGAAGGCTTTTATAAAATGCCCATCTTTAGAAGTAAGATTCCTGGCTTTATCCTTTATTTTGGGGCATTTAAATAGCATTGCTAAATGTGATCAAATGAACTTTTAAAATGTTTTAAACAATTGCCTTTTCAAATATATTTAGTATGTATGTTATGCAGTGGTTTGATCTGTTTAATTGACATGAGATGATGTTTTACACTGTCTATCAACTTTTAGATTTCCAGTGCCACAACAACTCAGGCACCCCAGGATAGGCACATGTTTAATATTGGCATTCTGCCAAACCACCCTGGTGCACCACAGCTTTCTCCTGGAGCTTCTCTTCACATGACTGTAAGTTAAAATAAACCTTCACAAAGAAAAAATGATAGATGTTCTTTGAATAAAATACACATTATGAGTGGGGTTGGATTGGGAACCTTTTTTTAAAATCGTGGAGAAGGGACAGATGTGTCTCTATTCATGATATACCTAGCGATCAAAAGGCATAATAGCAAAATATCTATTGGGCCCCATCAGTCACATAATGCATGTACCTTTTTACTTTACATATGAATAATGCTGGTGGTCAGAGGTGGAAAGACTATAAGCCCTTATTCACACCTGAGCAACATCAAATATCCATGTTTTTTTTTATGCGCGTACATAAAGTTGCACATTTCGCTGAGCAAATCGTGCCACATTGATGTGAATGGGCAAATGCATGTAAAAATGTGCAAAAGTGTCCAAAAATGCAGGAAATACCCATTTTTGAGCGCTTCCACTGAGGTCTATGGGGCCAAGAAGCGCAGAATCTGCTGAAAAGAAGCTCATGTACTTTTTTCCAGCGACTGGAGTTTTGCTGCAAGCGACAAAACACTCAGATGGGAACATGGCCATAGAAATGAATGGGGAAATCCTTAGTGTGAATGAGGGCTTCTATTGGTACCCTTGTACACTGTAAAGGCAAACTTTCAAGTTGTAGAGAGACAGTCTAAATTGGTCACTCCACAGTACACAGATGCAGGCAGGGCTAGCCTACGCAGTTTTCTCCTCCTAAGTTGTGTGCTATGTTTCAAAGTAGAGGAGTGCTTGCTTGGTTAGGTAGGTAAATTTGCATTCTCTGTTCAGAAAATGGTTCCTTTCGAGCAGTAAATATTTTTTTTTTTTTACAGTCCCTTTTTAGAAGTGGGCCTAACCCCCTTGACTCTAGGCCCCATAGCGGCCTCATAGGCTGTCATGGAAATAGTTACACCGTTGCTGCTATCTTCTATAATTAAATTTGATATGTTATGTAATACACCTAGAGATGAGCATCAATGATAATTTTCTTGCAATCTTCTTATACCTCTGATATTCAACGATAATCAGCCCTAGCACATGTATATAGTGTTTGGGCACTATTTGTAAATAGAGTATATATAATAAAAATCATCATTATTACAGTGGAACTTAAGCAGGATTCCTTGAGGCAAAAAAATGTCATTGAGTCAAAGTACCGCAGCGCTGAATACTGAAAAATGGCCTGGATGGGAAGGGGGTTTAACACCGCGGATGTCAACTGGTTAATGAACTCATTATGGATGATGGTTTTTTTTTAAATAAATTTGAAGAATATTTGAGGTAAAATGTCTATTTCTCTTGTAAGTATCAGGAAGAATGATACTGTTATATGTCCAACTTTTATTTTCTAAGATTTTGTATTTTTTTTAAGTGAGAACCAGAAAGTTACAGTCAATATAGAGCACCAGTAATTGTCATGTTTTATTGAAGTAGCAGTAATGATACATTTAACCTTGTTAAGGCAGTGCTAAACTACATGTCTAAGTTTGTCTTTTAAAATATAAAAACAACTGTTGTGTTTAAAAGGTTGTTTCTTTTTCAGTCATCGTGTCCAATTAATTGAATAGATTTTTTTCCAAATACATTTTATCCTGCCCTGCAGGAATCCATGCCTGGAGAGTCTCAAGGCAACTTTGAGATCCAACAAAATAAAAAAAGAAAGGCAGTTTGTAATTTGTTGGGAATACGTATTAATAACTATTGTCAGCGCTGGGAAATATTGTAGGTTGATGAGATTTATCTTTATAGTTAAAACTTACCAAGCACATTCTAAAATGAATGCATGAACATGTGTGATATAGCTCTGCCTGAATTGATTATATACTAGTGACTTAATCTCTTCTGGAGCCTTAGAGAACTTGGTCTCCTAATAGCTGTAAAAAAAAAACCCAGAAACTTCTGTCTCAGGAACTTGGAGTAAATAACCTAAAATTGCTTGTTCAGCAACAATATGTATATATTTTACAGGCCCTTGAAGACCGCATGACAGTGATTGGATCCCATTTTCTTTCGTTTGTTGATGCTGAGAGCCCAAGTGAAAAAATAGTCTATAATATAACTGTCCCCTTACAGTCCAATGAAGGTGAGTGCAGAAATGACTTTTTGCCTAACAGGTAGATTCCTTTCTACTGCATTCACTGGAACTAGTTATCCTTACATGGAAACTCCAGTAATTGGAGAAATCAAATAACTTTTATGTAATTATCTATGTTCCTAGATATTAGTGAAAACTCTTTATCAAATCCAAAAATTAGGTAACAAATGCACTTAAGTTAAATTTAGTGCCCCAAAACACAATATTATACAAATATGTTTTTTAAAATATATAAAATATGAGGTTATGACGAGTAAATGAATACCCAACATGCCCAGGTTAAACATTGTGTGCATCTGTGAAAATGGCAACAAAATTCAGTACCCCAAAAAGTACATAGACAATGCGTTAGGGGCCCCTACAGGTCATCAGTTTAGAGATACGCATAAATATTGTCCCTAGCAGTACTCTGGCGTGTGCGGCGATACCCAACATGTGTAGCGCGATCAACATTTCCATACGTAGGCGCACCCGACGCGTGTTTATGTGAATAGCATATTGGTAGTGACAGGTCCTCTTTCAGGTGATACTGGGGGTCCAATAGACACCTAGTATCAGCTTTCCACTTTAAATAAGCTATTGAAGTGCAAATCAAACTTCAACAGCTTATTGCTCGGCTTCAGGAGCCGAACAATGACAGCTCGTGGACCGGAAGTGATGCAATGCGCATCACTCTTTGTCCCATAGAATGGGAAGGAGATCGGTGAACGGACGTTCGCCTCTCTCCTCCCCAACTTCCCACCAACACCCATGATGCCCGGTTCCAGGCCCGCAGGAGGGGCAGCGGAGCCCAGGAAACTCTGTTTAGTGATCTCATGTGTGGTGCATCCAGATATCGGCAGAACATGTGTGTTTGCATCTAATTTCAGTAGTTTCTTATAATGGCAACATTAAGGACATTAATCACTACCAAACTGTTTCACATGCAAAGAAAACTACAACTAAATATATCCCCCCCTCCCCCCCACTACTGTATAACAACATATTATAAAAATGGTTAAAACTCTGCTCAAAAGCAGTTATTAAAGATTCTGATATCCCCAGAAGAGAATATCATGCATTACAGTGTATGTTGACAGGATAAACTAATGCCTCCATGGCTGCTTCAATTACTAAAGAGGTAATCCCTGCAACAAAGTATTTTTTTTTAGTGCTTGAAGCTGTGGAGTCAAGCAATATAAAGTGTAAGCACCATCTAATAACAAGGATTTATACAAACTAATTTTTTATTGAAGTTAATTAAATATCTGCCTAAAAGTAAAAGATTAATAAAGTTGTGGAGAATCACAGTAGGGAGTTTAATGGATAAGTCATTCAAGTGTCAACTGAATGAAATTCTTCTCACATATCACATATTCCCACTGAGGTCTCACCAAAATAACATTGCACTTTTACTGTTTTCTTTCCACTCTTCTTGTCATGACTAGTCAAACCGGTCACATAAGATAAATATAATATAAACACATAGCTTGAGGTATATTATTACATTTATATTTTTATTATTATTATTATCGCAGGTTTGCTCTTTTTTTGCGGTGGTGGAATTTAGCATGGGTGCAATGGATGCATTTGCTGCTGGACCTCTATAGCCTTAGTCACACTGGCAGTGACATACATGTGTTTATATACATGCATAATAGTGCATGTAATGATTTTAAATAGTGTAATTCACAATGCATTTACCTGCATTTACGTTCATTCAGGTTACTTACATTTAGAGAAAATAGAAATGTGTGCATCCAGAGGCAGATTAGATACTCTGAACACATGGAAATGTAAAGCTATTCATTGTGACTTTTTCAAATACTTGACAATAACTTTGACTAAAATAATATCCATTTGAAGGTACCCTGGAGCACAAAGAGAGACCACGATCCCCTATAAGGTACTTTACACAAGCTGATATCAATCAAGGAAATATCATGTACAGACCTCCAAGAGCAGCACCACACATGAGAGAGATTATGGACTTTTCATTCACAGGTAAAATTACCTTTCTGTTAACCTATGAGGCATGTGAGTGTTGTTTAGAATCCTACAGCAGATTGCCACGGGTTCTGAGTCCAGTCCAGTATATGCAACAAGTTCTTATTAGGCACCACAAAGTTCACAGCTTATTCCTACCCAATACTAGAAATGCATAACAATTCTGAAGCTACTGTATCCCATTTATTGCTTTACTCCAGTTGTCAGTTTTAGATATTAACCTTCCTAATCACATTTTACTGTCACAGAATATGGGCTACTGATATTCAAGAAAGCTTGTTCTCTGGCTTTCATTAGTTTGCAATAACTGCTGGGAAACCCATCTCATCACTGTTTACTAAATGCAATGATGTGATCAATCAACACTGGAGGGAACTTCTCACATATTCCTACTATTAGTGTACAACATTACTATTCAAGCAGTTAATGTGGGCCTCAGTCTCCATGCAGATTCCTTATTAAATATTCCACACTTGTAAAAGAAGAGATTGATTTTCAAAACCCAGACTAATTACTTTTTTGTAGTTATTTGCGTTTTCAAAGTCTAAGGTGGTTTTTCACAAAGCTGCAGCTGAGTGAATAACCCAGCCGAAGTGAAGTGAGCCGAACGCTGTTCAGCTATTCACTTCTGGCTTGATTTCAGCCGTACATTGGCTGCCTTCGGCTGCACTTCGGTCAGCCGAACATGCTGAGCCGAAGTGCAGAAGGATCAGCTGAGCCGAAGCTCTGGCAGCTCACTCATTGGCGTTCGCCCCTATTCTCATAGGGGCCGAATGGCAGTGAGTGGATAGGTGTATGCCGCAGAGCGGCATTCGGCTCCGCTATTCCGCTGGGTACCTCCATGGTACCGTGCAGAATAGAAAATCAGTCAAAAGAGTTTTAAAAAAAAGTTGAAAAAATATTTTTCAAATGTAAACAAATAGTAAAAGTAAAAAATAAAGATATTTAAAAAACTAATTGGGTGGAGCTAGCAGTGATAGCTAGCTCCGTCCAACTGTTTCCTATTGGCTGGCACCTGCTAGAGTCTTCTAGCAAGTGCCGACCAATGAACAACAACTGGGCAGAGCCGGCCGTGACATTGTTATTGTTATTGTTTAGTGACAGATCAGCGTCCCCAGGTCATTTGGGGATGCTGATCTGTCATTCCAACTAGGCGGGGGCAGGCCGTTCGCCCCACTTTGGCTGTCACTTAGCATATGCCTTCGGCTTGGCTGAGCCGCTCGGCCGCCTTTGGCCTCTGTATGGGGTATAATGAATAGCCCGTACAGCAGCCCTTCGGTTCGACTGAACCGAAGGACTCCAGCTGCCGAAGAGAGCCGAAGGATTAGCCGAAGATACGGCTGCATCCTTCGGCTCCTTCATGAATAACCCTGTAAATCTTTGCCGAATAACCTTTAAAGAAGCAAATCACTGAGAAATGTTTTTTTTTAGTTATTGGACTGATAAATATGAAGACATTTGCATGGAGACTGGTGTATGCCATGAGATCTTAGAAGGTACCATTTCAGGCTATATCAACCTTTCTCAAGCACTAACGAATCCTGATAGAAGCTGAAAGGTGTGCTGTAAGCTGTTATGTAAAAACAAATGGACTACTCCCGTTATTGCAGTGAAGCCTCATACTCTTTGTTTATTTCTGCTATTGCTTTTATTTCACATAATTGTATAACATATCCTCTATTTTTTACTTCTACATGTCATCTCAAATCCATCATTTGTAATGTTTGTGTTTTGTATATTGTAGGTCTCCCAGAGACTGTCAATTTCTTCTTTACAGGTAATTAGAATAGTGCACAATTATTGTAAAATAAAGCTCAATTTACAAAGCTTTAACACAGATACCTTGTTTCAGCAATGTGATTGTCTTTTTCACACCCCTTTTGAATTCAGCTGAAAATAACTGTAACTTATTTAAAACTAAGAATCCTTATCCTGGTGTTTTAGGGCCTGTTCACACGACGTCCGTTTTGTGTGCTGACCGACTCCGTACGCTGCTGCACTCAAAATGCATCCCAATGTATCCCTATGTGTTTTATGGGCTCCAGTTCTCACGTGCGCAGTCCGTTCAGCTTACGACAGAAAAAATACTGCATGTCACATTTTGTCCGGTCCGGAAACGGTCCGGAAACGCACGAAACGCAACGAAAACGGAAACGCAACGCAATGCAGCTAAGGGGGAAAAAATAAAAAATTGTATTCTTGCTCCACTTATTATGATGTCATCAATGTTGACAAAAAATTAACTGTCAGCATCCGGACCGAAAACGCATTAAAAACGCGTCAAAAACGCACTGCATCAGCAGCTCCACGTCTGCTGATCAGGACCTGATCTCATGTGAACAGGCCCTTAGCTGTGTGAATTGAGTCTATGCTGTCTGAAATACACAGAGGGGAATTTATAAAAACTGGAGCACACAAAATCTGGAGCAGTTGTCCATGGCAACCAATCAGCTTCTCTCTTCAGTTTGTTCAGTTAAGATTTGAAAATGATAGAGAAAGAGAGAAGCTGATTGGTCGCTATGCACAGCTGCTCCAGATTTTGTCTGCTCCGGTTATGATGAATTCCCCTCTGTTATTAGTGAAGAAATAAACTGTTGCCAGAAACTCTTACAGTAGGAATAACAAGTTTTTTTTTATGATAGATGTATGAGAGCTGAATCTTAATCTTTACTTTACTTTACTATGTAGTACGATACTGATCTTAACCAAGCATGTTGGATAAGTGCTGAGAAATTTTTGGCTTAATTCTTGTTTGAGGTAAATGACTCACTAGCTAGTTAAGTCAGGATATGATGACAGCCCTGGAACTTGCATCTCGACAAACCAGGTCATGGCAGCTCTCAAATCTCTATCTTTACAAATTTTGTTCAAAGTGTACAGAAAAAAGAAAGTGTCTTTCAAAGTGTACAGAAATACATGACCTAGTTGTGGGGGGGGGAGGGGGGGCGGGCGTCAAACTAATGAGTTAATGGGAAGTCAGGATCTGTCATGGTTAGGGCTGGACTGTGCCTAGAAATATAATGTTAAATATGGGTACCCTCTCTCTGTACACACCTATAGCATTTCTATTCCCCAATGTAATCATTTTGTTAAAGCAATGATTTCATTTACACGCTAAGATTTTCTGTTTATATAGCATTCACAAAATGCAGAGACTATAACCATCCTTAGAAATATAGGAACGTAGTTATAATATATTTTCTGCCTGAAATGTATGCTTAGTCTCGGTTTAATACCAGTGTCACTTTTAAATGTCATGTATTGAAATTTGTTATTGCTAGAAGCAGTAAAATAAAATATAAAAAAACAGTGTTTTGCAGTGTTAACCAGAATGAATTATGTTTTTCTGTGCTGTGATATTATAAATTAAGTGAGATAGTCTGACATTTGTATCGTGTATTAAATCTTTTAAATTATGTTACATGTTCTTCCCTTCAGTTTCAGACGGAGAGTTTACTACAGCCGAGATGCCATTTACTATCCATTTGTTTTCAAATGATCAGCAACCTCCGGTGTTCCAGATCACTGCTCCTTTTCTTGAGGTCACACAAGGAGGAAGAACTCCTATTGGTTAGAGATAAACATTTTTTTTTTTCAAAACTCTTTTACTTCCTATCTGATGTGTGCTTAGCCTGACAGCAGAGACACAAATATATTCAGCCAGATAGAAAAATTTCATAACAAATATAATTACCTCTGTGTGTCACAGACTCTTGATAACCGTACAGAGTATATTAAAGTAAGTAAAAGTAATGGAAAGGAAATTGAGACTGGCCATCACATAGATTCAAGCCGACATTTTCTATTGCAGGGACGGAAATGAAAGCCATAACTTGATGTTTGTCTGTTTTACTTTATACTGTTTTGTACGTATGAGGGTGACATTTCTTCCTTGAAGAAGTGAATTCACTTTGTACATCATGCCGATTGTTGGCTGTCCCCCTGATTCTTGTTTGGGTTATTTTTATTTTTTACTTATTCTATGAGTACATGTATAGTTTCTATACATGTACTCATGTATAGACTCTGTTAGCCAAACATACCTTTGCACAAGTGTGATGTCTTTGAACCCCCTTCCTGTCACCAATAGCCTTTGATAGCTATCACAGTCATACTTCTATTCATCTCTAGATGGAATGAAAGGTTCTGCATAACACACTTGTCTCAGTTCACTCCCAGACATAATGAACACAAAATGCAGACAGTTGTATTTTGTATCAATGAATGTTAGGGATGCACCGATACCGAGTATTTGCGGGAGTACTCGTACTCGATCCCAAAAAAACGGTAGCGGTGCATCTCTAATGAATGTGATGTCCAGTGCTTACACACTGTTTATCATGCAGTAATCTCTGTTCCTTACAGACTGGAAAAAATTAGCGCAACAATACCTGCTTTGTTTTTCCCCTCTCTTTTTACAATAAAGTGATTATTCAAATCCTGTATGCATGACAGGTTTGTATGAAGATGGACAGCAGACCAGTAATCTATTTTGATACACTATAGGGCATGACCCCAGCTAATCTGAAATGACTACATTCTATATTATAATATAATGAAAGAAGATAGGGTTTTAAAAAAACAGAGGAAAGAAACTGTATGATTGCTGTGGAAATGCACAGACTAACAGTTCACTAGAAATTACAACACATTGGAGCAGGACAAGGTTTCTATCACTAGGTTCTGTAGGCACACAGCCTTTGGTGCTCAATGTATCTCTCCTCCTTTAAGAACACCTTATTGTTCATGAACTGTCTTGGAATATTTTGAAAAGTTGCAGTTGAGCTTATATTAGATTACTTTATTTCTGCTTGGAAAAAAAATGTGACCAATAACTATACGGGCATAGCACTACTGTATCCAATAGTAAACACAGCCCTGTATAAAAGGCTTTGCAGTCAAAATTAATTACCATCATTTAATTTGTAAATGCAGGAAATGTAAATATGACATTATTACATTAGACCAATGTCCATATTACATAGGCATGCAGCTAACAGTGAGTGACACTGACACTGCCCCAGAAGATCTCTTGTATGAACTCGTGGAGTCACCTCGCTATGGCGTTCTTATGAAGTCAGAAGATGGTATACAAACCCCTATGAGTGCAGGTAAGGCTGCAAAATATATTGCATTGCATGTTTTATCTTTTAATGGGATTGCTGGACTACATTGTTACACAGTTTGCCTCTGCCTTCCAGGTGTGGAACGCTGTGCAACATCATGATATAGAATTTTAGAATTCATTGTAAAGAGAGATTGTCCTGAATTTGTGAGAAGATCACTAATGCTTGGGTTAGTTCTGCAGGACAGTCAGTGGTACATCTCAGGTAGGACTGACTGGTCTCCCATACAACTTAGCTTGAATCTGTGCATTTAAACTGCTGATAAGCTGATAAGCAGACCTGCAAAGGTTAACTTGTCGCGTTGGCCCTCCCCTAGTGCCCTTGGTATTACTAATGCAAATAAGTAAATAACAGAGAGAGTCATTATTTTTAGGCCATTGTAGATACGACTTAGGATGCAGAAGGGCTAAATCATTCTCGAGTATAGAAACGGTAAAGATAAGTATGGGACTAAAACTATGGAGTCTAATCACAAAACTGCCGTAGGCAGCCGAGTGAATAACCGACCCGAAGTGAAGGGAGCCGAACGCTGTTCGGCTATTCACTTCAGGCATGTACGGCTGATTTCAGCCATACACCGACTGAAATCAGCCATACATTGGCTTGCAGCGGCTGTGTTCGGGTCGGCCGTACATGCTCAGCATGTTCGGTCGACCCAAAGTGCAGAAGAAGGCTGCCGAACCACCGGCAGGCTACTCGCTGCTGTTCAGCCTATTCTCATAGATACCGAACAGCAGTGAGTGAATAGCCGGCTATTCTGCTCGTTACCTCTGTGGTACCGAGCAGAATAGAAAAACAGTTAAAAAAAGTAGAAAAAAAAATAGAAAACAATTGAAATGAAGCAGATAGCAGAGGAAGCTATAGCTTCTTTGCTATCTGCAACCTGGTAACCAGGGATGCTTATCTGTCTCTCCAAGTGGCCGGAGCCAGCCGTGAGATGACTTCGGCTCGACTGAGGTGCTCAACCAACTTCGGGAGCTGTACGGGCTATAGTGATTAGCCCTTACAGCAGCCCTTCGGTTCTACTGAACCGAAAGTGGTTCTGGGGCCGAAGCTAGCTGAAGGATCAGCCGAAGCTACGGCTAGATCCTTCGGCAGCTTTGTGAATAGACCCCTATGTACTGCTACATCTCAATGACTCAAACATACCCTGTTAAAATTAAATTTCGCTTGTGTTCACAAAAACATTTAGATTACATTGCATATAATTTTACCATTCTTCATGCTTTTTAGGTGACACATTTACATACGAAGATGTCAACAGAAATGCATTACAGTATGTACACGATGGTTCCGCAACTACAGAAGACAGCATGGAGATAGCAGTCACTGATGGTGTTACCTCCACCACAACTCTTGTGAAAATTGTTGTATCGTTGGCAAATGATAATGGGCCTCATCTTGTCCCTGGGTGTCTGTTGTCCATCACTGTGGCTAGCAAAAGTTCTGTCATCATCACAAGGACAAACCTTGCTTACATGGTTAGTTCACTGTCTTTGGTATTTTTTTTTTCTACAAACATTTTTAACAACACCATCATGTTGTTTTTTAAAATGGAACTAAATGTGAATTGTGTTATGTAGGCTTTTGGCTTAATGTGCAAGAATGCACAGCATACTTGTAAATTATGGCAGACTTACCTGCCATGGACCCCTCCAGTGCTGTGACAGCTACTATCCCCCTCAGCAATCAATGATCATCAATTCATCACCACTGCTGATATGCTCACCCAGTCTTCTTCAATGTTTGGCAACTTTGACAATCTGAATTGGCCAGGCCAGAATTTCGTAACTCCCACACAATGGCAAGGTTCATTCATCCCAGGACCCAAGGCATGCAGAAATTGTACACTAAGCTGTGCATGTGTGGTTCAGTGTGCACTTAAAATAACTTTTCTAGTAGACAGAAAATGAGCTTTTATTACTGAATAAACAAATAGTTTCTGCGATAAATCCTACCTGTCAGTATTTTTTTAAATCTGCCTTTAGTTCCACGTTAAGATTGCAAGCTGAGAATCTTTTGAGATATTAGAATCTTCCAAGTACTATGCAGAATATAGGCTGATTCATAAGACAATACAAATGTAACTATTTCCTATATCAACTAGTAATATCCTTTACTGATTTTATATAATGCTACTTAGGGGAAAAGAGCTAAGATATAATTGTTTTGATGAGTGATATCCCTCTTTTACTTTTCTCCATTTTGTTATAAATCAGTCCTAGTATATTATTTTGTAGTCCATTTTCCTTGTTTTTTGGCTCCACATAGTAACCGCTTGGGAAGTAATCTGCAAAGATTTTGAGAGAGAAAGTAAGCAATGATAAACTGCATAGTTGATGTTGGTTGATTTCAGGCTATTATTTATGACAGGCAGAAATGTGTTTGAGGCAGAGGCCGCAAACCAGAAGTAATTTAATCTGCTGATATTAAAGTGGTTTTGTTTGCTTTTAAAAGTGTTTGCCTTGTTATTTTAAAAGTGAAAATTCTATCATAGCTGTCACTAAAGCATACCTGTATGTCTTTATTTGTAAAGAAAATGACAAGCTTAAGCCAACAAACAGAAAATAGATTTTAAAAGATAATAAAGGCAATAACAATATTTATGACATTGTATCACCTCATTGTTTCACTCTAACACACGGACCTAATTTGCTGATTCAAGTAACTTTCGTTCCCCAATGTGACAAAAAGTAATGCGCCACTGGGGACTTGTTTACCAGAATATCTATATCTCTTTATTAAAGTGCAAAACAAGCAGGCAGCAGCAAAGGTAAAGTGCTAATGCTCCATATAAAATTGCAACGCTTTGAGCCACTAAATAGACTCTTTTTCAAACATAGAGAACTCCATGCTTGAAAAAGAGCCTGTTTAGTGGCTCAGACCTAAACAAATAATCTAACACTTCCTTTTCCATCCCAAAAAATAAGGTCAAGGTTAGGAAGCTGACTGCCCATGCTTTTCAAGGGGATTGCTTTATCTCTGTGTCTTAAAATGCGAAAACTGACTTGCAAGAAAATGATGTAGCAAACAGTTAATTTGAGGAGAGCAAGTAAGCATTTTGTTGAAGTAAATGCAAACATAGTGTAAAGGAAGTTGTTTTTTTTTCCCAAACAGGATAAAAACTCTCACGATTCCAAAATCCGAATCCAGTTGATTTCTCTTCCAATGTATGGTGTTCTTACGAAGGCTAAGTCAGGACAAGCAACAGAAGAGCTTTCAGAGTTCTCCTTTTTTACCATGGAGGATATCAACAACAGAAAGATCAAGTAAGTTGCTTGTTACATGTTGTGTATGATTAAATCGGACAACTCTGACAACATTTTTATTAACCCTAGCAGTGGGGCTACCCCCACAAGAGACTAAAATAGGGACTAAATTAAAAAACACCCATTGGTACAAGGAAATTCACATTACATTATTTCTATGCTTATTTTTACTTTTTCTTTGTTTGTCTTTAACCCTTTGCTGATATTTTGTATTTAGTGGAATGCAATATTTGGAAAAAAACTAAGCGTTTTGTCCAAATGCCCTGGCCCGTAACCTTAACATAACTGTAGCACTTAACCCTCCCAGCAGCTAAACCGTAAAACTTCATATAACCTCAAAATGAACTGTGGAGGTAGCGGTTCTTCAGGCCCTCTCCTTGTCCTGCAGTCCCCCAGCACCTTCCCAGAACCCCTTTCAGAACAGAATCTCAATCTCCAGCTGCATGCAGCTGGCAGATCAAGGCCCCGCCCACACAGGATCACCGGCTGCAAGGCCAAAGTCCTTTCCTCACACATCTCCAGTAGCATGCTTAGGCAGCCTTTAGCCAGAAAGCTGTAAAACTTCATATAACTACAAAATTAACTGCGAATGAAGGAACCCCATGCAGCCCCTCTTGCAGGCCACGCCTCTCCGTCCAGCTGTTTGATGACAGAAGGAGCCTGTGACTCCTTTGCCATCAGCATCCTCCCCCCGCAACCAGGAAGTTCGAGGAAACAGAGGATCGCTTCGGGACCAGCGGCAGGGACGAGCGTAGCTGACAGGTAATTGTGGGGGGGGACTGGGGGAGAAAAATTTTACTGGTTCGTTTTAACCGAGAATGCATCAAGGTAAAAAATGCTTAAACTTTAATACTATGTTAACCAATCCTCACCATAATTTTAAGATTTGAGCTAACACTGAATTAACCTATAATGCTCATTAAAGACTGCGCACTTACCTTATTGGTCTTAAAAGTGTCCTGTGCCAAATCATTACAGTCCAAAATTTTTTTACTATTCTGTTACAAAAAGAAGCAATGCATAATATTCAGATGAAGTTTTTCCTGTCTTGAAAGTCTTTGCTCTCTATTAACATTGTTTCTCTTTATCTGATATAGGTATTCTACAATTACAGAAACAGATGACCAGGCGCTTACTGACTTCTTCCATTTCACTGTCTACAATGCGGAAAATGACCGTCTGGACAATCAGATCTTTACAATTATTATTACAGCTGTTGAAAGAAATCTTCCTATCATTAGTTCTAGAGAGCTGATCTCTTTTAGTACCCTGAAGGTATGCATATGATAAAGTTATATAACATATTTGATACTAACCCCTTCAAAACAGAGCTCTTTTATTGTCTTGTTTACCAGAGCAGATCTTTCCAGAGGTCATTCATCATTACATTTTTCTGGTCTAAGGCACAAAATAGCAATCTTTTTCTCTCAGATTGTAGAAATGGAGGTGGCCACAGAAATAAGTCTAACAAAGAGGAACTCTTGGTGATCTTTCTTATTGACTTGGCCGATTATATTTTTAAAGCATTGCTTTGACTCCCTGCATGACTCACTGAAAGGATGTTTGAATTCCTTGCTTTGCAGCATTTGAAAAGGTTCTTTATGGCCATACTTTAAAGCAGATGCAGTTCTTTTTTTTGTAAAGAAGCAGAGCTTTTTTAAGCAATCACCGTTATAGGACAATTATCAGAAGCCTTGAACCAGTGTTACTGGCCCCTCTCTATGGCTATGAACAGCAGCTTGGTTACAGCATTGGAAAAAGTATTACAAACGTTTTAAAGCTAATGTGTGTAGAACTACAAAATGGAATGTGTGGCAGGTGCAGGCATATACATTCAACCACAGACCTAAACCCTGATACAGAAGGCAAGAATTCTACTACTGGCTGTTGTCAAAGGGGTTAAAAGCAGAAGATTTTAGAACTACAATTTCTTACTTGGCATAAAAACATGCGACAAATGTACACACTTTTGGGCCACTTAAACTATGAGCATAGCAAGTTTGATCTATATATCTAAGCTTGGCACGCATACTTGGAAGCCAAATTACTGCATTATTTTCAAGGAAAAGTTTAGTAACAAGTTTTGAGATAATGAGCCTGATTTATTATAGTAATTGAGAATATTCACACAATAAATTGTGTAAAGAATAATTTCAGTTATCCAATCATCTGTAGATGAAGTTAGTAATTTGCTTTTCACATGATTGGATAGTTGAAGTGAATAGTTAAACAATCTATTATGTGAAGATTCTTAACTCCCCTAGGAAATCAGCCTCAAGATATTAGTCACATAGGTGTCTTTGTTTTAATAAGTCGGTCGACTTACAGACTTGCATTTTGAGGGGGAAACATGATTGAGCAGCGCTGCAAAGCTGCAAGCAGAGTCTGCATACTGTATATAAGGAGCATATTGGATTTTCCCCGTGTACACATATGATTACAATCTATATATAGTTACAAGGTTTTTTTAAAACATTACCACATATTAATACGTGTATTAATATGTACGTGTATATAAAAAAAAATTTAAGTATGTACATGTAAGCGAAAACTCCGATCTTCGGATTTAACTTCATAGAACATTGTCCATATTTAATTTAACCTGTAAATTATTCTGTGCTGGTAATACTATTGGACAATATTATTGTTTACTTTCCATCGCTATTCCTTAGCTTTATTTTACATGCAGGATGGCTCATAACCACCTTTCATTTCAACTCTCACATCTTGGTAAATGTCTCATTCTTATGTTGTGGTATTTATAGCTGGGAAAGCACGTTGATCTATTTATTAGCAAAGTAACTGTATGTGATCTAATGTGCAGGTGGAAGAAGGAGGGCGAATTCTTCTGTCATCACGTGACTTGTTGCCCCTAGACCCTGTAACATTAGGACCTCGACTCAGGATTCATATAGTCACTGGTCCGAAGTTTGGCTATCTTGAGAACATCAAAAATGGTAATTTTTGTTCCTAGTTTGTAAGTACTGAAACTAGATGGAGATGCATATTTCATTCTTATCAGTATGGGTCTATCCCATGTTTCCTTTATGAAAGTGCCTAAGGGTAATCCTTAACTTGATTTGTGTATTGCAACATCTTTATTAGGCTGATGTGTACATATTCTTGATGTAGTAGCACTTTGGTTAAATAAATTATATCTTCTATGAAAGGTTGTTCTAGACCCGCCTGAGGCAACATATTCCTCTTGTGACATGTGCCAGCTTTGAGAATGAGCTGAGTACTGAGAAATGTATTTTATGGTAGGGAGATCTGTATGCTGCATTGGTAAACTCACTGTGAGATTCGCCTTGTTTGATAATGCACAACTTTCAAAAGAATTAAGAGAGAGGTTGGAATACAGTGATATATATTGCTCGCTCTTTCCTCTTCTCAGCGTGTTCATTGTCAGCATATGTAAAATGCAGAACATCTGAAAGGTTGTCCCTCTCTCTCTTAGTCTAACTTCTGTAGCAGTGGACAAGGGGATGATAACAAGTCAAATTCAGGTACTTGCACTAGCTGTAATAAAAATACATTTAATTATTTTAAATGCATACATAACTGCTTTTATTGCAGCAAGTCCATTCAAAACCAATAATTCGCCTAAGGGTAGTGTAGGGATTACTTCATCCTCCATGTTTTTGTACCTCCTGGCGCAGCGCATGGACAATCTTGTCCGCCATGGAGTCCATGTCCTGCCTGGTGGGGAGATGTGAAAGGATGGAGCGCCAATCCCCCTGCGGCTCATCCCGGACCTCTGACATAGGTGAGGCAGACTGAGAGGATTCCCCATATGCAAGCACCGGCGTAGAAATCGGGGATGGCGGAGGGCTCGGAGCGGTCACCGGTTTGTCAGCGGGGACTGATGTCAGCCAGCCGTATCGGGTGTTGGAAGCCGGGCCCACTATGAGAACCGTCGGGGTGCAGAGCTCCTCAAACTCGTGTCCTTACACCGCCATGTCCAAGCCACGCCCCATCCTCCATGTTTTTAAATCTCTCAGGGATTCCAGCAAGTACTGCCTGCTGAATTTCCAGGCTCTGCCTCTTTACCTTGATCAATAGGAAGTCAAGCAAGAGAATATTCTCTTGCTACTTTCTCTGTAATACAAAATAAATATGAAATTCAGACGCAACAATGGCAATGGCAGTTGGGGGATACGGCAAAACACATGCAAACGTCTTCTCAACTGATGTCCCAAGAGATAAAATGCTAGTGTATAAATTGATCCACAATTCCATAAAAACTGAAATATATATTTGAAAGGTTAGTAAAAGCAAAGTGATATTTTAGTTATAAGTGAAGCCTGCTACACTGAATCAGCCCCACTGCAAAAATTCTGAACACCTGGGAATTGTAGTTGTTTTCATCTATGTTTGGGTGTATAATAAGTAGCTCCAGCTGCATTCTCACTAATATGTATTAAAAATGTGGGTGGGAACCACTCATAAATAACCACAGTAGGTATGCAGACTCAGGTACTGAAGAACAATGATCTCACAAATTGTCACATTATTAAATTCATCATCTGCCAAAACTCAAAATATTAGTTTTGTGAGAATCTGCCCTTTACTTTCTATAAGATCTGTCTCTGGCCATTTACCAGAAATGGAGGGGATCCAATAGGCATCAAACAGGGAACATGGAGTAGATGCAGGATCATATTAACATAGTGTTCATATTTTTTTTTTGCTTAGCTTAGTGAATGAGGTGAAGCTAAGTGAAAATTCACATTGCAAAGAACACCCAATTATGTGCAGGGAATTGTTTTTTTAAAAACAGGATTTTATCCCACATGATTAGAGAGTAGAAGTCAGCACAGCTCTAACTTATTCACTAAGTTAAGTGAAAATCTGGTAAATATGTTTACTGCTTTAGTAAATCAACCCAACTGTCTGCACCCAACTCTAAAGCATGTCTTGTTTGTACATTTTACTTTATAGGTAATCTCTGTGATGCCTTGAGGTGTCAGTATTTGTAAACACTTTCACTAACGTTGGGTGAACCTTAAGCTGGCCATAAACTGTTTTTTTTTTTTTCCTTCACCTGCAGGTTGAAGGAAAAAATAAAACTGATTCCTCCATCGATGCTTACAAGCAAGTTGATCAAGGAATCCCTGCTGTTTCCTTTGCATTCTGACAGCGGCCTCTGGCAGCACCTCGGCTGTCCGGCTCTGGTCGAACATTTCCCACCAGCTCCTATCAGCTGATCAAGGGATGGCGGCTGGAAAAGGTGCTGACAGCAGCAACCACTGTGCGAATTTCTGCTGGTTTCTAAGAAACCAGCCGAAAATCACATAATGTATGGCCAGCTTTAGTTACTTCCTAAAAGTGCAACACAAACAGCAATTTATTAACAAATGCTAGTCCTTATAGTTACCATGGAAATCATCTCTCTATTAAAATATATGCCCACTGTGCCCAGGATTACAGCATGATGCCAAAATGTCACATCCGGGTTACTTTTCTGCTGCTTAAATGTTCTTTATAAATATAGAAACATATTTGGTTGCAAAAGCGTTTATAACAAAATCTGATGCATATTGTTCTCCTTGACTTAGAAAGCCCAATATAGCATCTAATCCAATCAATAACAACACCAGTTGCCTGTGACAGCCACAGAATATGCAGTAAATCTGTTTAGTCTGTATATAGTCATCCACTGATATGATTTTAGGTTGTAACTGCTTTTGTTTTTCCATGCTGAAAACTATACAGTATAGAGGAATGCACATAAACATAGCTGAGGACCTGGGCATTTCAGCATTTAATGGCATAATAAATAATAAGCATGAATAAATAAGTAATGGCGATAACAGGGCCTAGTGTGTGCATGAGGTGGCTTTGATGGGTATTTGGACTCCTTCATAAATGTCTAAATAAGCTCATCATAGAGTGGACTTACAGTGATAAGACTTTTTGAATCTGTTCAGCAAATGTCATTTACTGTATAAAGATGAAGTCCATGCAGATACAAAAATACCAGTAATAGTTGTTATTTGTAATAGTTGTTATTCGTAAAAGAAAAAAAACTAAATTTCTTTTTACATAGAAATGGCAAAAGAACCGGAACCTATGCGGATATTAGCTTCCTGTAACCATCTGCAGGATTCACACTGTTAAATCTCAATTGCTGGATGAAAAATAAAACCCTGCGGTAGCCTCTCGCCGCACTGAAAATAATTAAATGCTGGTTAAGTCTCGGAGAAAAGTGAAGAGACTGTATTATTTGTCGTAACCCCTGTTCTGGCAGATTCCAGCACACTCCTTTTCTCCCTGAAGCTCCAGACTGTAGGCGGCTCCTTGGTGTCATTAAGTGCAGTGCACAGCTATTAGCCTTGCATTGTATGTGGAGGAGGAGGGCATGCAAAAAAAAGGGAGGTTACCTGACTGGCAAGTCTGCCTGGGTCATAAAAATAAAATTGCAAATCATTTGGCAGGTAAAATAATTCCTTTGTACAGTATGTATTTCAAATGTGTATTTAGCTCTTTGTGTGGATTTCAGTTTTAACCTCACTGCAAAAGGGCCCCATCTGTGCATTTAAATCTTAAGGCTGATCTTCTATGGAACAGCTTTTGGTAGTGATGCCAGAAATGTAATCCTTAGTTACAATGCATGTTATGGGAGTGATTGTTGAGTGAATGGGTATTTCAATAACGAGCACTTCTTACGCTGGGTTCACACCTTAGCGTATTGGAAACTCACGTTTGCTGCGCGTTACTTTCCATGCGGTTTTGCAGTAAAAGAAACGCGCGGCAAACGCGAGTTTCCGAGGGGGTATCCGGCTGTATCCTTATGGATACAGCGGGATACGCACGTTAATACGCCCCAAAGAAGCTCCTGTACTTCTTTGGGCGTATGGCGTTTTACCGCGCGATCCTACGCGCGGTAAAACGCGCAGGTGAGAACCATGCCCATAGGCAAACATAGGTTTTCACCTGTTGCGCGTTTTACCGCGCAAACGCTCAGGTGTGAACCGTGCCTTATACTTCTCAACAAGATCTGCTTAGGTTGGGAAATTTGCTATTGTTTTCTGCATATTATATTATATTATATTATTATTATTATATTTAGGCAAAGTAGAAGTTGCATGGCCATATTACCATAAAACCCTTATGTAGGTTATTTCCTTATAATAATATATTCTGTTCTGAATCTTTTACAGTAAACTCTTCTGAACTTCAGGCATAAATAAAAAAGAATGTAGTTATTTATACCATAACAAAATAATTAAACCTGGCTTAAACCCTCATGGTTTACTACTCTAATGCAATCAGGCTAAATATACAGCAATCAATCTGCTGTTCTTTTCTTTTTTTTTTCCATTTCTGTGGGCTACAGCTAGTGCTTAAAGGAGAACTATGAGGTGAGTGATTTTTACTCAACCTCATAGTTCAAGCCGACGTGTGACAATGAAACTGTCACACGTCGGCTCAATAGATCGGGAAGTGAGCGAACACATACCGTCGCTTGCTCACTTCTCGATCATGCCCCTGCAGAGAGCCGTGACTGTCACTCACGGCTCCCTGCAGGGATTCCCCCCATCCCCGCTCCGATCCTCCAGCGCTGACTGGCGGAACGGACGGGGGAGGGGCGGGTACAGCTGGCTCTGCCTCTAGATAGGCAAAGTCAGCTGTCACTCAGCTTGGTGGATCTCGAAAGTAATGTCGGAATCCGTCCCGGCTGCGGTGGTCTCAGTAACCGTGAGCTGTAGCTCGCGATATACTGAGCTTTGGGTCACGGGAGGACGCTAGTATATGTCCTCCCGTGACCCTTAGGAGAACTATGGGGAAAAACACTTACCCCATAGTTCTCTTTTAACCCCATGACCCCATTAACACTGCAGCATACAACACTGCTGGTCAAGGAGCAAAAGCACTGTTGGGTAGGGTGGGGGCATGTCAGACTGCTGGAGCACCAGGCCACTGCTTTTTGTGTGAGAGCAGCGGTCCGACTCTCCCACATTCTGCCAGGCCAGGGTAATTTAACAGCAGTGTCAGAAAAATAAAGGAAACGCAGATTTTAGTACTGTAGATGCAGACTGGCTGCAATTCAGTAGTAAATCACGAGGGTTCAATTGGGTTTTTAACTTGTTTTTAAATGTGGCTATCTTAAAGTTCTGAATTCAGAACAGACTGCGAGAGGGGTTGCAAGCACTTGTAGTCAACCAGGCTCTGCTGCATGCAGCTGTGCTGACAGGGAAAATGCAGACAGAAAGAGAGACCAGCGTGAGCAAAGGGATGACTTCATCCATCTACTGCCCTTGACCAATCAGAAAACTAGGGGCATAATCTTGAATTCTAAAATAAGCTGTGTTGCTGCAGTGGAAGTTAAGGCAATGATACTGTATGTTGTTGACAGTTTGCATTCATACAGTATGTAAAGCATGTGTTTAGAATTCAGCTTTAAATAAAATGCTGCAATCTCTTTTACAGGGGGTCGAACTTCTCTGGGAGGTCAGATGGGCTCAGACTCTTCATTTCCAGTTCAGGATATCATAGAAAACTATATCTATTATGTGCAGAGTGTCCATGACAGTGTGGAGCCAAGTATTGACTACTTTAGTTTCTTTATGACAGATGGAAGCAGCCAGTCTGAGGTTCACAATGTCACCATTACTATAGAGGTTGGTGTTATACTGCTTTTTGTGTAAAATCTTTGTTACACTCTTTTCTAGGGTAATATACACAAAAAACTCTCATCTCAATTAATTATGGCATATAATACAATTTTAGAGATTAAGAGTATATGCTTTAAAGCAGAGATTGTGTACTCAAAACAGCACATTGAGAATGTTTCAGTAGTCTGTTAATCAACATTCCATACCGCAAAACTACTCATCCACTCACTTGTTATCTTTCGTTTTGACTATTGCAACTCCCACCTCATTGGCCTACCTCTACACAGTCTATCCCCCCTTCAGTCTATCATGAATGCTGCTGCCAGACTCTGCAACCCCCCTCTGTCAATCCCTCCACTGGCTTCCAATAGCCCAAAGAATAAAATTCAAAATATTAACAACCACTTACAAAGCCATCCACAACTCAGCCCCCGGCTATATCTCAAACCTTGTCTCAAAGTATCACCCCAACTGTCCCCACCGCTCTTCCAAAGACCTCCTACTCTCTAGCTCCCTCATGAACTCCTCCCATGCTCACCTCCAGGACTTCTCTAGAGTCTCTCTCATCCTCTGGAACTATTTACCCCAACCTTTCCATCTATCTCCCACTCTGACTGCCTTTAGGCGATCCCTTAAGGCTCATCTCTTCAGGGAAGCCTATCCCACCTCAACCTAACCACATTCTCAAACAATTCATCCCCACACAGCTACCTCCTCATGTATCACTTGCCCCTACCTTTTAGATTCTAAGCCCTCACGGGCAGGGTTCTTCTTACCATCTTGTCTTAAATTGTATTGTAACTGTAACGTCTTCCTTATATTGTAAAGCGCTGCTCAAACTGTTGGCGCTATATAAATCCTGTATAATAATAATAATAATAATTCCAACAGGTTTAATCATCCTTAGGGTTCTTATACAGTATGCAGCAGCATGACCTCTGCCCCTAAATTCCTGATTTTGCCCATCTCCACAACAACTTTGCTGAGGTTTTACTCTCTGGCATAGGTTTTTTAATTTGTTTTACTTTTTAGGGGATGTAGCAGGAGTAAGACAAACTGGAGTGAAGGGGCATAACTATAAACTTGGTGATCTTGCCAATAGAGTTAATAAAATATACAAGAGGCCAGTGTGTGTTTCTGCTCCAACATGAACTAACCCTTATAGTACACAAGTGCACACAATAGTATTACTATTTGTACGTTATATGTACATTGTAAGCCGCTGCTGGAGTGGCATGATTCAGCTGCACTATCTATACCCGTCCTAATGGGTATACACTGGCACTGAGTAGTTCACTGAGGTTTTGAAATTTCTGCTGATCATTATAGAAATTCCCAGCATGTACTGGGGACTGATTAGCATTAAAGGCTAGAGTAGTGTGGAAACTTTTGCACTGGTATGATATGCACAATTAAACATTTTAAAACTACTTCTTAAAAGATGCGAGTGACAGACAGTTTTAGATTTTAGTTTTTCCTTTAGACTGTAATATTAATAGTGGGTTTCTGGTGTGTAATGTAATGCTACAGTAGGAATTTGTTCAGTAATTATTTTATCTTTCTCTTTGGTTTTATTTTTATTTTAGGGCAAAAATGATGAACCTCCACAGATATTTTTACTGCCTGTAAGTGTTCAGGATAATGCAGGAGCTGTAATAAGGAACACTTGCCTAAGTGTTCAAGACATAGATACACCAGATAATGAGCTGATTTTCATTGTGACTACAACACCTCTACATGGTAAGCCCAGAGCATAATAATGTATATGTCGCAATCTGTTACTGCTGACTTGCACACTTCTACTGGTATTTAAACCTATTCTTGTGTTATTTATTCATTTTGAAATCTGGTGGCTGGCTATAGTACTGTGACTGTTAGGAAAGTTCTTCTTTGTAACATATTGATAACTACACTTTTTCACTATGCTATAATGGGTGTGTCAATTTTAAAATAGCCATTAACCTAAGCCATGTGGTCATTATTTTTAGGTCTCATTATTATGGCAAATAATTTTTATTATTTTTAATATTAGTGATGTTGATACACCTGGGTATATGTCTAGAAGAATGAAAACTTCACTTGTCAATGTTAAATAGTAACTAAAGCAAGAAAAGCCAATTTAGTACTCCAATATAGAGGATTTAGTGACATATCCCACTTGGTCGTTGCCAATTCTAGTTATTCTGTAACTGAAATGAGGATAAAGCTGACTGTTAAGAAAAGGGTTTCATTTTTCTTTTTAATAAATTGATGGCATTAATAAAATATGTGCATATAATTTATGTTAATTTTTTTGCTTCAGTCAAACTAATGTTATGCCTGTTTTATAAGGATACTTTAGAAATAACTGTTTCTGTGTTGCACTCTCATAGGGCACTTACGAAGGAGGCAGTTCTACTCCGAACCACTGGATAATGGCCGCATCCTGTCTCAAGGTTCCTCCTTTACTTACCAGGATGTGCTGGATGAGCTGATTGTATATATACCAGAGAGTAGAGCAACACATTCAGATGAATTTAGGTTCTCTCTCTCAGATGGCCGATACACTGAGAGTGGAAGACTGCAGTTTACTATTGAGCCACAGAGGAAGGCATCGCCAAGGATGGCAGTAAACAGAGGCTTGCAGATCTCAGCAGGTATGTCAGCTTTTTTTTTTTTAGACATACAGACTTTAAAGTGACACTAAACTCAGGAGTTAAATCTTATAAATGCATTCAAGTAACTTAACTATTAACACAAATGTAACTTATTTGTGTATCACTCAGCTAGAGATCCTCAAATCATCTCTGAATTGGTGCTGACTCTGTCCTTCCTTCAGGAGGGTGCCTACTTTTGTTCCCCATGGTCAGTGTGTGTGTTGTAGAGCACTGCTCTGCCACCGCTCCAATCTCGTTCCTGTGATTAGACTATTATATCAATAGAAATGAGTAAACTAAACGTGAGGTTGTAGTCTATCACATGAGAGAGCTTGAAGCGGTGGCTACTGGATACTTATTATTATGACCATACATTCCAAAATACTTTTCAGTTAAATGTTGTAATGGTTTTAAAGCCCATGACCTGTTCTGGGTAGACACTTTAGGGCTCACCAAGATTACAAGTATGTTGCCAGCGACAATTGTATCCCTTGTACTCACAGTATATCATCAATATGACTGGCAGTGTTAAATATTGTGTTCATGGCTAGTAAGGTAGCTGGTTAAAGATATAACATTGAATCTGGTTGCATTTACATTTCGCAAGAAGAGATTTACTGCTAAGAGATTTACTCTCTTGTGAGTTATGCCTAGTTCAAGTGTAATATAATTATATACACCCTATATGTCTATGCCTGTGGCTTTACCTATAAATTATTTATATATACAACGTGTTCTGGGGTCATAATACCATTACACACTCTATCATGGTGTGTGTCAATTTGCTCTAGTCTTTGACTCTCAACATCAGTCAATTAATGTCCATCAATGTGTGCCAGGATCATTGTGTATTATATTTACCCCTGTAGCAAATTATTAAGGATATTTACGTTTTCCAAAGGACTTTCCTGTAAAAATTAATTAGTCTAAAGTACTTACCATAAAATCTTTTTTTTTTTTTAATCCAAAGAGAGACAGGAATGTAGTAGTTTGGGTTATATGCTGCCACCTATAGGAGGTTGGACACTGGGAAACAGAAAAAGAGTTGAAGGCCAGCCCAGATATAACCCTGGCTCTAACTATCATGCATGAGTAAGCAGTACATAAGGCCAATAAACACGGAGGAGTGGCATGTGTGTCCCTCAGTGGACTTCAATAACATTTTTTTACTGTAAGTACAAAAATCTTATTCAAAAACATCCAAATGCAGTCCAGCACAGTGGTACCCCCAGGCAATGAACTGCTCTGGGGAACCAGAGTAAATTCCCAGACATGAGGACAGCCCTGAGACAGGAGTGCTCACAATGAAAGAGCTTGAGAGACTTAGGGTGCATATCAGGGACCATTAAATCAAAAGGGTTTGCCTGCATGTCTCACCTAAAGTCCAGTACCCCTCTTGGGTACCTTAAGTCCAGTACCCTACTAAAGTACTGTGACTGTTAGGAAAAATTCCTGAAAAAAAAGAAGATCTTTGAAATGCAGCGCAATATGCTCTGCATCAGTAAAGTTTTAAACAGCCCTTGTAAACTACAGTCATCTAAAAACTGCCTCTCCTGAAAACTCTAAATCAGAAATGACAACAGAGGGTGCAGACTGCAGACCCAGTCAGGCTCACTGTCACAGGAGAGTTTGAGACAGACTCTGCCAGGCATGGAGAGGCCTACTCCCTGCGTCAGTCTTCTGAAACTGGGTCTCTTCAGAGGCTGCGCAACGGTTCTGGACCTGGATAGTGTCCCGTAGCTAGCTAACACTGTACTCAAAGGTCTGGAAAGCACTACAATGCAGAGCCCAGTGCTAAAAGGTCACACTCCAAGCCCCTCAATTTTCCAGAACAGCAGTGTCCGAGTTTGGTCTCCGAAGCTGTTGCTGAGGATACACTGATCCAGATAGCTGCTGTTTAAAGACCAGCTCAAGCAGCATTCGTGAAGTGTTGATTAAAATCACAGATACATTATTTACCTTGTACTCTTAAATGGAAAAGGAATAAAATGAAAAAATAAGATTAAAAGGGCATTTTTCAGCAGAGCTGAGAACAGCTCCCAAGGACATTATCCCCCCCCCAAAAAAAAAGAGGCATGATGGTCAAAGGTGGGGTCATATAGGAGCTTGCCTTCAACTTTTTTTCTGTTTGTCAGTGTCCAAACCACTGTAGGTGGCAGCATATAACATTAAGAATAACCAGATAGCTCAGTAAATTCCTTTTTCTGTTTTCCTTTCTAGGTTCTACAGCTACTATAACTGAGAAGAATTTAAAGGGAACTGACATAGATTCAGACTCTGCAAAACTGCGATATGACATTAAGAAAGACCCAGCTGTGGGACAACTGCTGATATCAAAGAACAGTAATCTGCTGCCCATTTCTGTAAAGGGACCAATCACCAGCTTTACTCAGTCCGATATTAATAAAGGTGATAGATCATTAAATATACAGTAACACATTTTATATTCAATTATATCAAAGTTATAATTGTGCACTGATGTAAAACGAGGAGAACAGGTGGCATAAGATATCTTTGGTGTCATGCTGTGGGGGGGAGGGGGGCAGCACAAAGCATTCAAACGTTTCCTTTTTTTATTTCCCTTCTTCTTGCCATCTCTTGGTATTTTTTATTACATTTAGAAAGATACCTGTAGGGGTGTGCTAGGTGTATGTTTATAAATCACAAACTGGTAGCTTCGCTGAGCGCACTTCCAGTAAGCTACAAATATGGCAAATGTTACCCGGTTCTGCATGGAAAATGTTGATAAATGTGCAATGTGTCAAGGCGATTGCACAGCAAATCTTTCATAAACATGCCTGTAGTCTGTTTTCACTCTTGTATAAATAATACAAACACATTGCCTAAAATTATAAGAAAGTGATCATAAATTGTCAACTGGCATTTCAAATTCTGTATGTTGCCTTTCATAATTGGATTTGTTTTCTCCAGAATCCACATTTTTGGGATCACTGTCTGTTATAAAAAGGCATCACTCTTAATTGTTTTTGCAATCTTATGATGAATTTGCCCTTCTTCTTTGATTTTCTCAATCCTTCATCTTGTGACTAATGTTGTCTCATCTGATTTTAAAGTGAATTGTTTTATTAAGGCAGCACATCTGTAAGGCAGTAATGCTGTATTTATCTTGCAGTAATAAAGAAATACAATTGTCTGATGCACACTATGTGCCCAGTGATTACTATGCATATACAGCTACCATACAAATGCTTTAGTTTATTTCTTATTTGTATATTTTAGGATACGTTCAGTACAAGCACAAGAAAGGAGAATCAGGGGGAAGCTTTGCTTTAAAATTTGATGTGGTTGATACAGAAGATAATGCACTGATAGACCAGTCTTTCTATATAAGCATATTGGGTAAGTCACTTTTATATATCCTGTTCTGTCCTATCCTGTTGTCACATATTTTTTTTTTTTTTTTTTTAGCACTTTATAGAGTAGGCAAGGGTTATAGCCTCTACAGGGTTAATTACTGATCACTGTCACTGGGACAGAAAGTGATAGATTTATAATTTTACAGTTGTCACTGTAAGGAAGGGAATTCTTTACTGGAGATATTTGTTCATGTGACAGCAGACTGTGGAGATATTTCCTTGCATTACCGTAAGCTGCATCAGAAAAAAATAATGGATATGTCTGGTTTTTAGTGCACTGGGGTATGATGGCAACCTATTCAATTTTAATAGGCTGCTTTCACACAATGCACGTTAACGTGTGGCATAACACACATTGACAAGTGTCCATGAGAAAGGGCTTTAAAGGAGAGTTATGGGATGAGTAAAAAACTTGCATCTCCATAATTCAAGCCGACCTGTGACACTGAAGCGGTCACAGGTCGGCTCTATTAATCGGGAAGTCGGCAAACACATATCGCTGAATGCTGACTTCCAGATGCTCTCACTGCAAAGAGAGCTGACTCCCAGTCACCACTCCCTGCAGGGATTCCCCCCTCCCGTCTCTGTTTCTCTAGCGCAGACTGGAGGAACGGACTGGGGAGGGGGGCAGGCACAGCTGGCTCTGCCTCTGGAGAGGTAGAGCCAGCTGTCAATCAGCCAGTGGGGTGGTGGATCTTGACAGTATTGTCGGGATCTGTCCCAGCTGAGGCACGGCTCTGCGCTCTCAGCATATAGTGGACAATAGCCCGCTATATACTGAGTTTTGGGTCACCGGAGGATATTAGTATATGCCCTCCTGTGACCCTGAATAGAACTATGGACAAAAAAGATTGGCCCATAGTTATCTTTACAGTGTTTATGTAAATAGCTTTGGACTTCTCTAAGGCCTTGCTCATCTAATGCATTTTACTGGATTTTCAAACAAAAAAGCGTGAATGTGATAATGAACTCTGTTTTCTGTGGATTGCATTCATACCAATGCTTTTACAAAAACATCCTACTTGCCACTGAAGAACACATTGCTACAATCATGTGACACAGTGCCTAAGCTACAGCATATATTATTATATATATGATATGATTACATGCAGTTAGAAAACAATCACTGTCCTTGGACACACCGATTGTGCATCCAGGGATAATGATTGATTCCTAACCACATGTAATCATATCGCATACCATTACATGTGGTGTGCAGGCATTTACATGCAGTGGCTGTCACCTGATCATTAACTTGAATGGGTGACAGTTGCCGCTTTTAAATGCCAGATTAGGGATTCCTGCAGGAAAACACAAATTCCTGACAGGTGTGAATGGGGTGAATACACAAACACACACATAGAGAGATGCATACACACACACAGACTAATACACCCCCCCCTCGTTTCGCCCTCCCCTCTGCAGATAAAATAAAACACACACACAGAATAAGGGCTTGTGCAGACTTGGACAATCCCAGGACCTGAAGAAAGGTACATGTATTTTTTTTTGCGACACACACCACGCGTTTCTTTCAACCACGATTGTGCTGGATTGCATGGGCGGAATCGCA